TTTTTTTCTTTCCTCTCTTTCTTGAAATCTTTTTCCAAAATTTTGACTAAAGAACATATTGATTGAAACTAAAGTTTGATATATGCAGGGTTTTTCTTAACTGTAAGTAACTTAGCCGCTGTGCTTAGGGGGAGGGGGGAATAAAGAGAAATTAAAAAAAAAAACCAAAACCAAAAAAACCCCAAACAAACAAAAAAAAAAAAAACCAACCACTGCCTGAGGACTTGTGGAATTTAAGGTTTCTCCTTACATTAGAGTTGAAAAAACACATAAAGGCTTGGGGTTTTTTGTTTTTTTCTTTATTTCTAAACTGCAGCATTACTCTTGCACCAATACCAGATGCTTTACTTAGTCACTAGTGGGTATTTCCTATAAAAAGACAAGTGCAGAACAGCAAACCAGTCAAGGAACATCTGAGAAAATGGTTGCTGCTGCTCTCCAGGCTTCTTACCAGACTTGACACAGAGCACAGACAATGTCGGTGAGATTTGCAATGCTTTGTAACGTACTGGAGTTCTCCAGCAGAAGCCTCTGTGATGGTGGGTCATTCCTTGCTATAAAGAGCAAGGCTGCAAGGCCAAGCACAGGTCTGTTCTAAAGACCATCCAAATGATTTCCTGTTTGTTCTTCTATCTTTGGTGCTCCTCAGAAATAATTCAGATATGTCATTAGAGATATCTTGTCTTGTTCTCATAATTGGCACATCCTTTTCATTAGGGAAGGACAGGTTTTCATTTCCTTTAGCATTGTGAACATCTAAAGCCATTCAAAATGTGTAGTATTAGCAAAAATTGTGTACTGGTGATGAAGTGCAAATACACATTTCAAAGCCTCATAATTGTTCTAGACTAAAAATAATGGCTACATTTGCAGGTATCACTGGCATAATCCACCACCTTTTTCTTCTCTTTCAGACAATGACTATGGAGGCCCATCGAAGAGTGGTTGTGGAATACATCAGAGCAATCATGTTAAAACGTATATCTTTCAAGAACGCAGAAGAGAGAAAAGAGGGTGCAGAAAGAATGATCAAAGAAGCAGAACAGTTCAGATTTCTGTTTAAGAAGCTTGCGGCTGTAAGTATTTGCTTTGGGTAATGCTGTTAACCTGGTAATTTAGAATAAACCACACGTTTACAGCTTGGGAAAAACAGCTGGAGTTAGGTCTCTGTGTCTCTGAAGTGTTGGGTGAGGTGGTGAATACCAAGGATGTCAGCTGGCTGTAGTTAGGTCTCTGTGTCTCTGAAGTGTTGGGTGAGGTGGTGAATACCAAGGATGTCAGCTGAGGGCATAGACAGAGTTTCTGAACACGCGTGGACCTGCTGCTAAAGTTCCTGACCCCCAGTTTCTACTGCTTTGTGTTTATACAACTCTCTGCAAATGAATGTTTGAATGTCCTTACAGAGATAGGTACCCTGAACTTGTAGTAGTAAGTGAAAGAAAAAAAGTGGTTGGTTGTTAAAAAATAATTGGGCTGTGCTTTTTCTGGCTAGAAGAAATGAATACATAAATCTTTTTTTAACTGCATAAGGAGCAGGAATCTGCCAGAAAGTTCAGAGGGTCAACAGGTGTCAAAATGCAAAGAGAATGCGGAGAAGGATAAAGCCTGAAAAACTGGGAAGGGTGAGGAAGGGGAAGTTCCTCTCTTCTTAGTGTAGCAGATGTTGGGGCAACTCCTGCATCAGAGTCCTTCATTATGTGGGATTTTGTGTTAGATCTGTGTCAGAGTAAGACATTGATAGAAGAGGTTATGGAATAAATACAGTGAACAATACCAGATTGGCAGGACCAGATGACCTGGAACTAAAAGCACTGAAATAGTCCAGAGATGAAATAGATATTACAGCTCAATTGATGAGTTGTTGAAAGCTGTCTTGCTGGCCAGATGACTAGATGGAGGCTGACACGGGATCAGTTTTTAAGCAGTGTTTCAGAAGAGATCTGGCTTTGGTAAATCAGCAAAAGTTAAAGACTAGAATATATCACTGTGTGGATAAATACAAACAATATGTTGTAAGACATGACTTTACTGATATTCTGAGGGCAAGTCTCTGAATGAAGAAGAGGGAACAGGCTTGTGACAATTCACAAATATTTTGTTTTCTTAATGTCTGAAAATCCAGCTGATGGGGAATTCCACAACATTGTTGGACAAAACACTAATTAAAGAATTGTTTGTAGATATCGGGGGAGGGATTGCTTTTGTTTTGGCTATTATTTTTTATTTTTACTTTTCATCTTGCAGGGCTCTGGTGAAGACACTGAAGGACTCTGTGACATCATTGAAGCCATTGCAGAGGTTATCAAGCTAACTGATCCTTCACTGCTCTATTTGGAAGTTTCAACATTAGTCAGTAAATACCCAGATATCAGGTAATTCTCTCTGCCCTCACAGTTACTATAGATAGGTAACATCACCGTTTCTGTGTAGTCTTGGGCAAATTTTAAAACAATGTATGAATGTGCTGATATTTTTCATATTTTAGAATGTAGCCACTTTCTTATGAAAAAATGCTAATATAAAATGTATGCGAGCTGGACTAGAAGGTGCATGTGATTCAGTACTCCATGGCATGGCAAAGCAATAATGAAAATACTTCCATTCTGTGCTTTGGGAGAGTAAAATATGTTTTAAAGTCCTAAGAGCAGCCAAAATAGTGCTTTGTATTGAGCTGGAAAAGCCAGTTCTGAGTGACTAGAGATCTGATTAAGAATTAAAGTACATACCGACACTGAGTGGAACTCAGTGATATTTCTGGCAAAATCTTACTTGTGCAAAGTTTCCTACTAATGCCAGTTTTATCATTTTCCTTTGGCAGGGATGACCATATTGCAGCTTTGCTGACAGTGAGAGGCGATGCCAGCAGAGATATGAAGCAGACTATCATTGAGACTTTGGATCAAGGTCAAAGCCAACCGAATCCAAACTATGTGCCAATTTTTAAAGAAATTACAGTTCCTACTCTAACTGTGCCAAAACTTCTTAAGTAACTGACAACTCTGTGTTTGTGTGTCATTACTGGTCTGGGATCAACAGATTTGAAATATTTGAGGGCAGATTTGGCAATGCTATTTTGAGTAAAAATCAATATACACTGATACTTGCTAGGCATGTTTCTTTCTAAAGACTGGGATGTGGGAAAACTTTAATCAGATTTCTGAAAGAAGATGGATGTAGAGGTCATGTTTGAAGAATGAAGCTTCTAATGGCCAACGGGCTTTTTACTGACCCATTTGTTACAGCCATTTTTGCTGTCAGCAAATACATTTTTCTTGTGGAGTATGTTTGCACGGTGCACTGCAGTGCCCTATAAAGATACTTATACCAAAACCAACAGAGCTGTATAAGTGCTGGGTATATTAACATATTTCTTACAGTACCTAAGCAGACTCCTTTAGAACTGTCTTTATATGGCACTGCATTGAGCATATATTAACGTCCTCAATCCACTTTCACATTATGCTTTGTGTATGTACTTACTTTGGTGTAAAATAGTTTATTGCAGAAAACTTAATTATGAAATCAGTTTCCTGCCTAAGGGACTGAATGAAATTGCTACCGTGCAATTTGATTATAGGGTAAATAAAGACACATGAGGTACAATTATTTTTTTTGTATTGATTTACTAAAAGCAGCACATAAAGCACCACCAGTTCAATAAAATGTTAAATCATTGCTACCTTCACCTATGTATTCTTTGCATCCTTATAGATTTACAGTAGATTTAAATAATTTTTTTTGGTTGTTTGGTTTGAAGTGTGAATAAATTCTGGATTTAATAGTTTTCTGGAAATGAGATACTGTTTTTTATTTCCACAGTATTTTCAGATCAATGCTTAAAGCTAAGTGTCAGTATTATCTGTTCTAATTATAAAATACTACTAGAAAATTGTGAATTTAAAATTATATGATGAAGGACACAAGGCATTATCTGTTACTACCTGAATATACTTGTCCGAGGTAAGTACAAGGAAGACACATGCCTACTTTGCTCTAATTAATGTTCTGGAGTTTGTGTATGTAACTTGCTTGGCCTGTGAACACCCAGACCTCGTGCCATTTGACCCCTCTCATGGACTCCTCTTTACCCCAAAGAGATACATGCAAGGTCAGCAGTTTGGACAAAAGGGCAATGCGAAGATTGTGGCTTTTTTTTTTTTTTTTTCATTGACAGGAGGAGCATGTCCCAAAGGATGAGGATGGTTCAGTGGAGCAGAGTGCTGTACCTGAGAACAGTGAGGTCTGGAGGCACTCCAGGTCCCATTACACTAGAAATTCCTAGAAACTGCAGCTTGGGCAAGGGGAATGAGGCAGATTTTTGGAGGGTTGTGTTCTTATTGCCATCCCTGGAGGTCTTTAAAAGATGGGTTGATGTGGTGCCTAGCGACATAGCTTAGTGGTGATCTTGTCAATGTTAGGTTGATGATTGGACTTGATCTTGAAGGTCCCTTCCAGCCTAGACAACTCTGTGCTTCAGTGCTCAGTTAAGAATTGAGGTGATACTCACTAGTTTAGGTCGTGCTTCAATTTCAATCCTGTGTTTTCGGGGCTGTACCTGAAATCCTTGTCCTACGTGCTTCTGATCTGCAGTGTGTCCAGGGAAGTCGGTTCCTTGGGCTTCCGTTTCTCCCTGCAGCCCCTTCGTCCTCTGCAGCGGTAACGGGGACGCCCGTGTTCAGGCTCCTGCCCTTGCAGTGCCCCTTACGGCGGACGAGCGAGGCCCCGGGTGGGGCTCTGCGGCCGGCCGTTACCTCAGCCGCTGCCCCGCCGCCGGAGTCGGCACAACTCTCCTGGGGCGCCCCTGAAGGCTCGGTGCCGGCGGGGACAACCGCCCACCGCGCCGGCTGAGGCCGTGGGGGGCCACTCGCCCCCCCCAGCCCGGGCCGGGCCCGTCCCCGCCCCGCAGCCGTCGCGGCGGGAAGGGGCGGGCGGGGCGGCGCCTTCTCCGGGGATTCCCCCGGGGCGGGGCCCCTGCGCGTGCCCGGCTCAGTGACGTCACGGCGCGGGGCGGCCGGTGCCGGAAGCGCGGTGAGGAAGAGGAAGGCCGGAGCTGCCCGGCGGAGGGGCCATGGCGGCGGGCTACCAGTACAGGCCCAACGGCGGCGGCGGCGGCGCCCCGCTACCCGATCCCACTTTCCTGTGGAACGTCTTCCAGAGGTGAGGCCGCCGCGTCCCTGGGTAGGGGGGGGTGTCCTGGCGGGGCGACCCGCGCCGCCGTAACGGCTAATGGCCGCGGGAGGGGGGGCTGACGGGGGCTCCCCTCATCCTGCGGCCGCCGCCGGGCCCTACTGGGCCCAGGCGCTCCCTGCCCGCCGCGCCGGGCCTGGCCCCCCGCGCTGAGGCGGCCGCCACCGCCCTCGGTCGTTCCCGGGCAGCGCTGCCAGGTCTTCTGGGCGGGCCGGGCCCGGCCCTCCTGGGGCTGCCGCTCCCTGAGGGGGCAGCGGGAGGCAGCGGGCCTTGGGGAGGCGCAGGGGAACGGGCAGCTGATGAGGGGAGCCTGTCACCGGCCATGGGCATCCAGCGCGGGACTCGGCTGCCTTAGGGCCTCGCCGGGCGGGTAAACGTCGCGGTTGTATCCCTCTAGAAGGAATCTGAGGGGAAGCTTTAAGAAAGGCCTGAGGAGGAATAGTCATGGCTGCTTTTCAGAGCAAGGGAAAGGGGTTAATGGAAGAGAGAAGGTAACCTTGAGAATGCTGAAGTCGTTTTTGACCTGAGAATCCATAAAGGATTGTAAAACCTGGAAGGACAATGTAGCAGTACAGGAAGGTTTGTAAAAAGGAATCTGATAAAATGCTTAATAGAAAACTTAAAAACTAACAAGAAATATTCTCTTGAATACATCAAGAGCAGGAGCCTGTAAGGAAGGTTAGCAGGCCTGTGTTAAAAGGCATGCTGTGGAGACCACAGCATTAAAGAGGCTAAAGGAGTTTTTCACATTTGTGTCATGTCGAGGAAACTTGGGAGGTTCCTATCTTGGATCCATTTTTATAGGACATGCGTCAGAGGATCTATCTTGACTCAAGTGACAGCAAGAAGAGGTTAAGGAATAGACAAACAGTAGTAAGTTGCTAAAGCTGGATAGTATTTACTTAGTTACTCAGGAGTGACTCAGGAATGTGGCAGCTTACCTACCCAGCCTTCGGGAAAACCGCTTCATCTGCAAACTTGGAGGAGGCATGCATGATACTGTTTCTTTTTTTAAAGGTGTCTGTAAAGAAACAGATCTGTCTTCTGCACCAGACAAACCAGGAGAAACCATTTTAAATAATGTAGCTAGTCAGGAGAGTTGCATGGCCTTTGTTGAAGGTATTCCTGTCTGGCAAACTACTGTGTAAGACTTGGAGTATGTTGGGTAAAGATTGGGTATGGATATAGGTAGAACTGGTGCCATTAATATAATCTGTATAGTTTCCAGAGAAGCTCTCAACATACAAAAGTGTCAAAGGCCTTTGAAGAAACCTGGTAGACATAGAATGAAAGAGAAGGTCCTTTGCTGGAGAACTGATAAAAAAAAAAACATGTGTGCCACACTGACGGATGGGGCTGTTCCAAGATCTTCATTCAGTATGTTCAGGAACAACTGGAGGGAAAGAAAGTGAATGATCAGATGAAGTTTGTTTGTTACACTGGCCAATTCCTGCAGGAAGTCAGGCCTAAGCAGACTTGAAGGAGCCCCTCAGGAGTCCTGAATGACTGGGTCATATGACCCTGGCGTGGCCAGATCATGGTCGCTCTGTGACAGTCAGATGAAATCCAGAGTAGACACCTGATGTCTGCGATAAAGAACATTTTAACTTTGTATCGTTTTGTATATAAAATGAATGTGCTCTAAACTGACTGATGGTGCTCAGGAGTGAGATAAGTCAGTTATAAAAATTCTTATGAAAATACCAGCTTAGCACCTAGTAGCAGCTTGTAAAAGGTAAAAAATGCTCAGAATACCTAGAAAAGAAATAATGAATAAAAAAGGGGGAGTATCTTTTCCTAACTATAATCTATGCAATTTATGCTTGCAATCTGAACGTTCTGTGCCTTTTAAATATAAGTTTTGAGATGGGGAAGGACTCTCGTGAAATGAACTGAAAAGGCGTAGAAAATAAGGGCCCTTCAGATATCCTTCTAAAGAAGGCACAACTCTGCTTTGTTTGGGCAGAAACTACTGAGTTTATTAATTTTGTGATAAAATTCTTTAAGACAATAGACAGTGAAGGCTCAATGGAAGCTGGTGCCTGCCTGCACTTTCTCACTTTTTGAACCCCTTTGAAAGGGGTCAAGGCCCTGCAGTCAATTCTTTCAGTATTGGCACTGGTCACACTAGTGGTTTTCTCTCCATTGCCAACATCTTAATGAGAGAAACTGGGTGCCAAAGTTAGGGCTCCGATTTGGGAGCCCAACAGCTTACTGCAGCGACATTAGGCATTTTGTGGATTTAACTGCTCTGCAGTTCTTTTAAAAATAAACAGAAATACATAAAAATACTTTTTTGTGTGTGTTTTATGCCCAGACTGTTTTATTAATCTTATTTGGTGAGTAAGAATCAGAATGTTGGAAGTCTTCTGTCAGTGGAACCTGTTAATTTCACCCATTTAAAGCTTTTCTTTTTTTGTTTGTTTGTTTTCTCCCAGGGTCGATAAAGATAGGAGTGGAATAATATCTGATAATGAACTTCAGCAGGCATTATCCAATGGTAAGTCTGTAAATAAGCAGTGAGGTAACAGTTGTTTACTAACATTGTAAACTTAATGTTAAACTTCATGTGAGACTGGTTACTTGATGGCTTAATTCTTTGACAGGGGATGGGGAGAATGTACCTACTACCAGTTAATACTATTTAATATACAAGAAAAGGCTGAAGGGGAGGAAAAAGGTGGCAAATCCTCCTGATTTCTTTTTTGCTGATACCGTTGTTCCTGTTTCTTTTGAGTTTCAGGGGTAGTTTTCTGCATTTGGTGCATGTTAGTAATAATGGATTATAAACTGAGTACCTATTGAATAATTACTGGTTTGTGTTCTGGGGAATGAAAACATGCACAACCCTTTATCTTTTTCCAGCTCTGCTCCCTAGAAGAAAAAAAGTAGTGATCTATGTATTCCTCTCTCATCACTACTGAGCCTTTGTTTTTTAGCCAGGATCAGTGAATAACCTGGACAACGATCAGATATTTACAGCCAGCCATTTTACTGCACATAAAATCTTTTCATAGAGTACGGTGCAGGAACTGAATATGGTTGGTTTGGTTTTTTTCCAAATGAGGCATGTTTGGATTCTTTTTCCCTAACAAAGTTGCTCTCTAGTCCCACACAGAGATGCATTCTACATCTAGTATTAAAACTTTCTAGTAGCCTGTCAGTTCCCTGTGTAATACTTAAAGAGCAACAAGGGTGTGGTCAATTAACTCATGGAAGCAAAATAAAAAATGAAAATTTTTTCCAGTAGTCTATTTTTACTTTCCTCTGGTGACTTAGGGTGGGTAGGGGTGTATTTTGTGGTTGGTTGTTTTTTTTTTCCACTTAGAAATCTGAAAAAGCGCATAGTGAAGCAATTTGTGCACCTTTGAGTCTGTATCAAGTTCTCCTTCTCCGAAGGTTTATTTCCTTTATCCTTCCTGTGCTTCGTGACTGAGAAGGGCTTAAGCTGCTGTTGTGAGCTACAGTGCACACAGCCTGAAAGGCTCCTTTTTGTCAGTAATCACCTGACTTGAAATAAATTTGGATGGCTCTATTTAGTAAAATTGCGGTCTTGAAACTAAACTGGATTTACTAGAATATTTGTTTAATAGTATATCTGATAAATTAAAAGCAATACATTATAGGTGCTGCATCTGATCCATAACTAAAATATTATTTTGAATAACAGCTTCAGCAAAAGCTAAGTTAAATGGATTAAGTCACTGTTTTCATTTAAGATTACAGTGCTGTTTATACCAACGTGGGAAACTGGCTTTACCTGCTGTTTTAAACTTCATATATATCTTCTCATCTGATTGAATTTAAGGGTAATAGGCAGTGATGACTATCTGAACTCTTTTCTTTCCTTATTTACAGTGTAGATTAGCAGTTTCAGTGCTTTGCAGTTATGAAGAAGCCACACCAAGTGAATTCACTGTTAGACAAAATATTTACAGAACTGTAAGCTTCCTTCATTCTGAGAGATTCTAGATTTTGTACACCAAAGTCACTAACAATTCACTATATTCTTTTCAAAATACATCCTCTAGTGCTCTAGTGGATGGTTGTGTGTAGCTGTCCCGCAGTCTAACATGGGCTAAAATAATGTTATGTGTTTATTTGTAAAACACTTTAAAAGTCTGCATAGTGCTCATGAAAATTTGAAGTTCCATGTGTTTTTGCCATTCAGCTTTTCAACATGTCAAGTTCATGCAAATAACAGAGTACTTACCTGGGAGGGACTAATCATCACTTCCTCTAGTTGTTTGCACAATAAAACCCTATGCTTCCTTCTTGGTTTTTTTTTTTTTTTCTGTGCTGTCATGTAAAGTTAATAATAGAGTCAGCGGAGGAGGAGGGAACAGTGTTTCACTGTTTATTGGAACAGGCTGAAATCAGTACAGTCCTTGAGCACTGGAGTTGCTCAGATTTCATTTTGTGGCATTATATGAGTCTCTTGAAAATGTCAACATTAAATAAGTTAACTTTGAAACTGCATTTTCACTTTTTCTTCTATGCTGTTCAGAGTTAGATGCTGGGACCCTATTAATAATTCCATAATTTTTTATTTTTGTCAGGAGACATGCGACTTTAAGGTACTGATGTTCTCTGTCTAAAATACTGCTTACGCGCTTTCAGAGCCATTTTTACTCTTTCTCTGCTTATGTTTCTCTTCATGTGCGAAGGGTCACAGGGCCTGCCCACAGGACAGGTTGTTTCCCCATTGCTGTGTCTGCAGACTTACACTGAGACCGTTTCCCTTCTCTGGGAGCAGGGAAGCACTAATTGCATAAGCATTACTGATGCTGCTGCAGCTTGATGCAGCACAGCAGCCGTGCCTTCACAAAGCCTAATTAAGCCTAAAGCTTAATACCAGCCTCTTCATGAGGTGTAGGGGGTCAGCTAACTGCAGCACGGCAAGTGACTCCACAGTACCTCTGGTCTTACTGGTTCCTTTGTGGTCCCTGCACTCAGCCACAGTTAATTTAATATACGCTTCTTGCTCTTCCTGGTTCCTTCACAGGCTCTAGAGAATTGGTAGTGAAATTCTGGACGAGGCACAGTATTTCCCTTAATTGAAAGCTTAATGCTTCCTAGCACTCTGGAATGCTCCCAACCAAGGAAAGCTATTCCAAAGTGCCTAGCTTCTAAATATTCAGAGAAGTACAAAGCTCTTGAAACATCAGATGATTACTCCTCAGGCCCTTTTAAGCAGCAACGTTCCTTGGTCAGAAAATACTAATTTAAACTAACACTTCATTGATTTAGCAGTGGAGGTGGGATTTAAACTCTTAACTGTACTGTGTGGTTATGCCACATTAGCAACCTTTGTTTTCACTTGTCAGAAACTAAATCACCTGAAGCAATCCACCTCTAAAATAGGAAATAAGCAGATGGGGTTTTACTGAGTAATAGATATGAGACCTTGTTCGAGTAATAACTTAAAACTCTTTTGCTCCCATCAGTAGAAAAAATGGGACTTCAGTTATGATCTTGCCTTTTATCTAATACCTCTTGACTACCTTGGATGAAAAAAAATCCTTTAGTTCTTCCAAGGTTTTAGTTTTTGGGGATTTTTTTGGTGCAGCCTAAAAAGTGGTGGTTTCTGCGTGGTATCTGTAAAGCATTGGTCTGAAATAATGTCTGAATGGTCAAGAACATAATTACTTCAAAGCAGCCTTATTTTGTAATATGCTAGCTCCATGTCTTCTAGCTCTGAATTCACTGTTTAAGTTCTTATCTGATTTTTTTGGTTGGTTTGTTGGTTGGTTGCATTTTTTTAAAATGTTGCCTAGCATTGAGGAACTAAGTCATTCTTTCTGTTTCAGGCACATGGACTCCGTTTAATCCAGCAACAGTCAGGTCAATTCTGGGTGAGTGCAGTTGGGTGATGTGAAATAGTCAAGGTGCTGTTTTGCAATCTGTTTAATTGAGCCTGCTACCGATTGCTGCACCGTGTTAGAGAAATGAGTATGTTACAAATACTACAATGCAGAATACAAAATGTATTTCTACCATAATAACAAACTCCTTTTTTAAAGGTCTTTTGAACTAGTTTGGCCGTAGTGTTAACAAGCTGGGCTTTCACTGTTAGATGGTCTGTTTCAGCATGGCTTTGCTCTTTTATTTTTTTTCCTCTGGACAGCCCAGCAGTAGGTTAAACTCAAATATTTTCCCTTTTGAATAACACAGGCCTGTCCCTTGCATGCACACACGTGCGCTTCTCAGAGTAGCCTCAGAAAATGTTCCTGTACAACTGAATAGGCAGCGAGTGTCATTTATGAGTGGGGAAACTGTCAACTTAAATAATCTAAAAAGATATCATATAGCTTGTCTTCATAACTAGTTTTTCCTGTCTTGCATTTTAATCCAATATTCTGCTCCAAAAAGACCAAACAGAAGCTTTTCAATATTTAATGTGCCCAAAGTGTGTCCAAAAATAGCTTCCAGTGATGTGGATGAAGATGGCAGCAAAGAGGAAAAAAATTCGAGCACAAAAAATATCTTTTCTGTTATATAGTTCATAAATCTAAGGACTATTTTTTTGCATTGTTTTTAGTAAATATTCAGCAGCAGTCTGAGTTCTAGCGCTGTGCAGTGTGCTTTTTGTATAAAGATGACAGTATCAGTGAGTCAAACGGAGATGAATATCCTAGTGCTTTTGGCAGCCAGTAGACTCGGACTTTTTCATGTGTCCATAAAAAAAGAACATTTACTCCCCCCCGGCCCTTGCCCTTTTTGTTGCTGGATGATCAAGGAAGCTCTAAATCTTTTCAAACTGAAAATGAGAACCCAGGAAACATAAACATTCTGTGATTCATTCTGGTCCTCTTTTATCTCGCTTTATCTTTGCCTCCTTCAGTGGACGAGTAATTACTTTTTTTGGCAGAACTTTCTAAACTACCACTAGTATTTTAGTAATTTCTGTCTTCAGTACCTTCCACAAAGCATTCTTGCTGCCTTCTTGAAATACCAGCAGATCTTTCTGAGGAGTAGTATGATTAAGGCTTTATAAGTTTCTCCATTTTTATTTCAGGCATGTTTGACAGAGAAAACAAAGGCGGCGTGAACTTCAATGAATTCACAGGAGTCTGGAAGTACATCTCAGACTGGCAGAATGTCTTCCGAACGTATGACAGAGACAATTCTGGAATGATAGACAAAAATGAACTAAAGCAAGCACTAACAGGTTTTGGTAATTCATTTGTAATTATAGTTTTTATGACTGGGTTATGTCATCAGATGAGCTTATTGTTAGAGCTGTATTGCTCTGACAAATGTGAGTAAAAATGAGGCAGGTAAAATGCATTTTCCTGTTAGAGATAAGGGACCTTTTAAAGATGTCCATACCACAAGCACTTTTCTTTAAGCTATTTCCTTTAATGGAAGAAATTAAAACATTCCTCACATGTACTGACACAGCCAGTGTCAGTCTCTGTTCGCTGCTCTGAGAGCGGTACCAATATGTCAGGAAAATATCTGAACTTACAGGGCACTTGATACAGCCTTTAGAAGGCAGGCAGCTCTCTGCCCCACGGTACTGTTCTGATGGAAAAAGGAACTTTCATGCAATTGAATTCACTTAAAAAACTTGAGCTGCAGCCCTAAACCATTCCCTCAACCAACTAGTCACTTTAATCAGTAATTACATTTACTGTGACTCTGTCTATAATTAAGCATGGGTTTTATTGCATGCGTTTTAAACATAAGAGATATTTAGCAGAAAAAAAATGTCTCTTCTAACTCGTTATTGTTCTCTGGTTTTGTTATACACACCTGCTTACCAGCCTAGTTCTTTCTATAGGAGGACTGTGCTAATTGAAACCTTTTAAAGCATTTCTCTTTTTTCCAAGGTTACCGACTGTCTGATCAATTCTATGATATCCTCATTCGGAAATTTGACAGACAAGGAAGAGGGCAGGTTGCTTTTGATGACTTTATTCAGTGCTGTGTTGTTCTACAGGTAAGAAAGGAGATGTACTTTAATGTCAATTGTAAAAATAATCATCACCTTTTCTTAAGCTTTTATGGTTCTTCTTTTAACTATAATATTGGATCTAGAACTGGCTTTTATAATTTTATAATGGATTTATAACAATACATTTGAATAAATGTACAAGAGGTGCTAGGAACAGATTCATAATTTATTGGTCGTTACTAGTTACCCATTTGCATCACAAGCAAATTTGATACAATTCTGAGGAAGCAAAAAAATGTAAAATAGTCTGTTTTAAAAGGAAAACAACACTATTTCTATTAGTTTAATACACGCACTTCCTCTGGATCTTGTGGGTGTTAAAACTGGCGTGTGTCTTGTCCTGACGTGCCCACAGTTCTCAACCTGAACTGCGTGTTCTTTGTATATCTCTGTTAAAGGCTCAAATGAAGAGCAATTTGACTGAGCAGCTGAATTATTCAGTCTTTTGTTCCTGCAGGGGCAAGGGCAGTAAAAGATCTCTCATCTCAAACAGAAAAAACCCTTTTGGCAATAGGAATACATATGTATAAAGAGAGAGAACTGTAGTTTTACAGCTGCATTTTTTTGTTTGGAGATCAATCACTGGATGATTCCTCACCTCGTTGCTTAAGGTTTCTCTAAGTGTGTCTGACTTTTCTGAAATTTATGTAAGACTTTGGGAAAAAGTTGGGAAACTGTAGCAGTGGACAAGCTGAGTTTGGTGGTGGCTTTTCTTACAGTGGCCAGGAATGCAGCAGTATCTTAATGTATCATCAAACACGCAACATGAAGAGAAAGCAGGGCCTGGTGAAAGTAGTATCTCTGTTACAGACAGGTGTTTCATTCTTCTTCTTTTAGCTTTATGCCCATAACCATTAGTCTGCTGAAACATCAATTGCCTTTATATTCATTTGTAATACAAGCCAATTATACTTAGTTATACACTTAAATTGTGGTAAAGAGGGCTGTGAAATGGAGTATCACTCAGCTGGTGTTGGTGAAAGCGTGCTGGTACTTCTTTTGGTCCGTAGTGCCAGGCAGTTCTGGTGTTACTAAGCCACAACTTGGATACTGATGTTACATAAAGTCTGTTTGGCTAGAAGATGAGAAATGGACAAGGTACTCACTGGATTCTACCTCCAGATGACTCCCAAATGTCTTATGAGAATTGGGCAGTCTCCTCCCTCCACCTCTGCCCCTTAAAGCCAGTTATAAAAAGCTGACTGGTCTGTACAGAGTGCCTGGACAGCCTTAGGTGGTGTATCATAAGGCGGTTTTAGAATCAGCTCAGGCATGAGACGTGGCAAAGAGCTACCTCGATTTGCACATGGTTGTAAAGCATCTACAGATAGGATGGAAGTGTTCATAAAGCTATAGAAACCTAAAAGTGGCAAGGGAAATACATGGCAGTCTGAACTTTCCTGATGTACAAAAATGGGGTTTTTCCTCCCTTTTCAGAGGCTGACTGATGTGTTCCGGCGGTACGATACTGATCAAGATGGCTGGATTCAGGTGTCCTATGAGCAATATCTTTCCATGGTCTTCAGCATCGTATGACACTGACAACTAGGAATTGCACACTGGCATTACACAGACTGGAGTTGCCAAATCACCCTGTACTGGATAAGATTATTGATGTATTATAATGGATATAACTTCACATTCTTAAATTTTGTATGTTGGTCGTCACCTTCAGAATCTGTACTTGAGTTGGTTTTTATTTTGTATAACTAGGATATGACCATCTCTGCTTACTGTAGTACAGAAAGCACAGACTCTAGATTTAACTGGTGCAATGTCAAACATAACCTTCCACATATCGTGCATGGGGAAAAATGACCCTTTAGAAATGCCAAATTAAAATAATGCTTGTTAGTTTATAAGAGTTGAAAGTCAGAAGTTGCACAACATGTTTTGCATGTGCCTTACTTTTATAAGAGTTTAATGTATTAATTTTTAATACAGAATTTAAAATTAAGTAAAACTATTAGATCAACTTTCCTAGTCTACTTCATTTTTGTACAGCCTATTTAAGGGGACAGAGGTTTTATTTCTGTATTCTTGTTTTCTAAGATTCAGGGGTCCCTCCCACTTTCCTTGCCTTATCTTTTTATTTGCTCACTGCCACCTTCTTTCAGGGTATCCTTGGGACACCTTCAACTAGAACTTCTTCACACCTGTGTCCTATTCTGCATCTCCCTCAGTGACTTCCCTACAGCAATAAACTACTGTGGATATATAGTTCCCTCTGCTCAGTGGGCTCATTTAACACCCCTAGTCTTCCTTTTTGTGCTGAAGCACTTGAAGTGGCCTTGAATTTACAGTCAGACATTCTTAGCACCTTACCCTCCAACTCACCGGTTGCAGATGGAGAAAGACTTGGTGGAAAAACTGAACCCAAAAAAGTAGTGACTGGTTCCTGTCACACACCATCTCCTGCAGTAACGTTGAAGAAGCAATGAGAAGTTAACAAGGTATCTTAGATCACTCTAAGAAAATGTTACTCCAGCGCTATCCAGAGCACTTTAAAACACTCAAGCAGCACTATTAAATACCTGTAACTGCTACTTTTCATTCCATTATTTCCAGGCAAGAGCATTTAGCTTTTATCCAATGACTCTTTTCTTAAACTGTAGCAATACTGATTTATTCCTAAGTCCCCCTTTTCTTTCAAATTTTCAAATCACACACAGCCCCGGGCCAGTAAGCTCTGGCTGATGGGAGCACCTACATATAAACTGATGCTGTCACTGATACCAAGCAGATGTTCCAAGAGATTATGCAGAGGGTTTAGGTCCACAGACCATCCTGCTTGAAAAAAAGCAATGTTAAAATGTTATTTCCGAGTGTCTCAACCACAATATAGCAGCTGGTGTCAGGGTGCAGATGGCCAAGGGGCAAGTGCAATTAACAACTAAACACCTGTCATGCAGAGAAGTTGCTCCTAGTTGTCAAGTGATAAGCAAACAGACCCCTAGTGACAGTTCAACAATGTTTTCTAAACGCTTTTCTGGTGTGAAACCTCTGTGGAGAGACTGACGGTCTCCAGAGCATAAGCACACACAAACAAGGGGCTCTCCCAGGGCACTCTGGGCATCAGCATCCAGAGGACAATGGATTGCTTCTGGGTGAGGTGGAGGAGCAGGAATAAAGACTGATGTCTGAGACCATGTCACCCAACAGCCTTGGATGTGACACTGAAAGTTATGTTTAAGATGGCAAGGGAGAAAGACTTCCAACAGTTCCTGCTTGGGCCTCACCTCCCCAGAAGGCTGAGGCAATCACTAGGTACGTTCTCTTCAGAAACAAAACACTTTCCCACTAAAGAATCTTACCTCTGGGTTGTGCATCCACCCAAATGAAATCCAGTCATTGTAGGAAGCATTCTGAGGATCATTAATAGGTTCAAGGTACAAAACTAAAAAAAGCTGGAAACAAGAAATTTCCCAAGTTGTCTCCTGTGAAGGATGTCTTCTTTTCCAGTCACCCTTATTATACTTCACCGTCCTTGGTGTAGAACAACTGGTTCCAGCACTTTCTAAAGGAGTCTCACTGCTGCAGAAAATAACCAAAGTGGCCCTGGGTTGGAATGACTCTTGTCTCAGTGGGAAACAGCTGCTTCTGAAGGTGTGAAAGCAGGTACACCACACACCAAGAAACTGGCTGGAAAGTAGACCATTCCTCCACCCCCCAAGCCTGTGGAAGAAGTAACCAGCAGGATGACACAACTTCCAAGGCGCATTTTACCTTTTTGTCCATGAGGTCTTCTTATCTGGGGCCTTTGTGGACACTGCTGGTCAGGTGCCAAAAGGTCAGAAGTATGGCTGTATCTTTTCATTTTCCTAGCATCATGGCAGTAAAATCCCAAAGGGAGTCAGCAATGGGAAAAACAAAGCTCTCTACAAAAACCTCGGAAGAAAAGGCCTTAATTTGAATGGACAGAGTTGTAGCAATAACATTTTCTAGTAACAACTTTGCTACAGTTTCCGACTTCTAGTTGTATTACAATTTGTGGAAAAAAACTATGGCAGTAACATTTGTAGAAATAATTTCTGATAATTTCTAAGTGTAGATAATAAGTGATCAGTCCCACAGAGCTTTAAATCAAATTCCAGCAGACACCTGTGGTAGAAAATAATGTTTTTCCCGTTTAAGCAAGACATTCTACTCTGGAATACAATGGATAAAACTGTATGGAACAACTACTGAGTCCAAGACATTAGAAACTGCTTAAACCCTTCAGTAGGTATGAGAAGGACAAAAGGAAATAGTGAACAGGAATGAAAAAGGGAAGTGGATCCCTTCTGATGCACAAAGAAAACAATTACAGAAGACTTTCAGGGAATCAAGATTATATGCTGTATCATTAACTGCTTTGTTGCCTTTGTGTTAAAGTTCACATGACAAATGTAATGCAGAAAGATATATGACAGCTCTTGAAGACTAATCCTGGTTTAGCACAAATATTTAATGCACAGAGGCAAAGAAAGATACGGGTGAGAAGAAAAATGAAACTCCATTACACAGCAGTGAAAAGGGAAGTGGATCCTGGGGAGTGACCTGTCTCACTTCACTTTACTCCTTTTCTTTAACTCCACCTAAGCTGGATTTGACCAGATAAAGCAGACATCTAAAGCCAGGCATTCACGAGCATGTGGCTTGGAAGCGTGGAGAAAAAAAAACATAAGCAAGGACCATTGATAAACATAATGAACTGGTATTTCTCAGTTAGTATGTCATTTTGGTTATTTATTTTCTTTTATCTGATTGCCTTATAGGTTCTATTATTTCTAAATATGCTTTTGCCAGTAGAAAGAATCAAGAATTTTTATTTTAGTGTGGATCAATTAATCAAATAAGTTTTTAAGTCAATTTGTAACAATTTCATTCTGGACAACACGATAAAAAAATGTGCATATATTTCACATCTCTTTTTACTCTGCAAAACCAAAAGCAAGTAATATGCCCCATTACGAACCAATCCCCTAGAACAGATTACATTTTTCTCAGATTACATCCCATTAAGCCAGAGAATACCTTTGCTGTGACACTCTCCCTTCTTTGTCTAAACAGCAATGTAGTGGATCAATTTCTAAAAATACCCTCATTATAAAGCTTTAAAATAACTGAACTGACCTGAAATTTGTGTGAAGAAAAGTAAACCTGTATTTGCATGCAACGGACTTGTATTTTCGGTGAATATTCTTCCTAAGTAAATAACACAAAATTAAACCTTTTTTTTTTTTCTCTGAGTTGGGAAGGGTGTTAAAAGGGTGATTAGCTTTTTGCTGACAAAATAACATTAACATATTTTCAAAAAATAACAAAAGATTTTTTTCTATAATATACTAAGATATAACAAATACATTAAAAAAGCCTAAACAAAATAGTATGTTCACCCCTGATATGTGCAAGTTTGTGTTCCAGCTATATTTCCCATGTTAAAAAAATTAAACCCTACCTCCCCTTTCCCCTTCCAAAACCACTCAAACACAGAATTAAATGCAGTCTCTTTCCTGAAAGCCAAGAGATGGAGATTCTTGAATCTGTTCATCTGTTTCCAGTTCAGCTGTTGTTGCTCCTTAATCTTTTCCTCTAGTTTCTACTAGCACATTGACTAATGTCTGAATATTCAGTTCTAGAAAGGGGAGATAAAAACATTTGAAGTTACTTCTGTTTCATGTTATTTCACATAATACAGCAGAGAGAATGTTAAAATGAAAGTCCTACCGCTAAGTAACTGTCCCTATTCTAGTACCATAAGCATAGTTCACATTTGTCAAAACTCAGGCCCAGTGACAGCTGTACAGTGGCATGTGCCCAACTCTCTTTAAATCCCTCTTACAATCTATTTCCAAAGGAGGATCTTTTATTTTGAATAGTGTATCACTGTTTTTAACACTACGGAATACTTTTGCAATGACTGGAAAAAACAGTTTGTCATATAACAAACCAGCTCTTTGATAACATTTCTTTTTTATCATCCCAATGTGTTAGATCCATGTGGAGTATTTTCAATATTATAATGCCATCCAAGTTTGGTTCTGCACACATACCAGTATTTTTTTCTTTATGCCAATACATGCTCTCCCCATAGCTGTTACCCAAACAGTACAAACTCTGATCCTGACATGAGATGCCAGCTACCAAGATGACCTAGGACAAACCTTCCAATTCAGGAAATTTTTGTGCTATCAAAATTTCCTCCCACTCACAGCTCTGCTTAGTTGTGAAGAGACAAAGTCTCCTCAGAAAGCCAATTAACAGCATTCTTCAACTGATACAAATGTTGAGCAAAATTAACTCGACTCTTCTGAATGGAGTGCGCTATCTCTGCAACACGCAGTCTCCTGCTTATGTTAAAGCAACTATGTTGATGTAACTCATTTTACATGAAAACTAATCACAAACTTACTTTGAAGTGCTGGATAATACGGAGCCAACTGCTTGAGCATCCTGGTCATTGTAGGTATATCTTTTCCTTGCAGTCTATTCAAAATGTTGGGAGTAAGACCAACAGCATCTTCATCAAACATCTTATCTGAGCTTCTGAATTGCTGGTAATCCCTGTATGAACCACTGCCGGAAAACGAGTACTGATGTGAACCCCAGTCACTCCTGTAGCCTGACTTCTGATGCCTGAATCCTTGACACCTAGATTCCTGGCTCCAGCTAGATTCCTTGCTCCAGCTAGACTCCTGGTTCCAGCTAGAGCTCTGGTTCCACCTAGAGTTCTCATCCCATCGAGAGTCCTCATTCCACCTTGAGTCCTCGCTCCACCTGGAGCCACCTCTTCCTGAAGGAGCAGTATTTGCAGAGGTACAAGTATTCACAGACTCATCATTCCCGTAAGAGGAACAGCTTTGTGAAGGATAGTTTGTGGGATATCTTCCAGATGAAGGATATGAGGCAGAAGAATTGGGATAGGGTAATCCTTGATCACTTAAACTTCTTGCTTTTGAACATGCTTGTTGATTCCTCCAATTTGTACTTTCCCCACCATAAGAGACTCTGTTAACAGGGATCTTATTTCCATGCACATCATTGGACATGTATTCTGCTGAGTACTCACTCACTGGACTTGTCTCATAGGAAGAGGCCCCACCAGCTGAATTACTGCCAGAAGCAGATCGGCTGAACTGTCTCAGCCACTCGCTGATACCACTGGCAGGACTTCCAGTCTGAAGAGCAAAAGAGTCCCTGAGTGCAGACATCATTGCAAAGTCATTAGATCCCAGTTCGCAGGAAGATGATCCATCATCTGTTTGGTAACTGTATGAGTTGGCAGGGGCAAAAGAAGCATCTGCAGAATGCTCTTCATACTGAGACAAAAGACCTTGATTCCAGTTATTTCCTGAATGAACAAACAAAGGGCACTACTGATTTGTTAAATGCAACTGGTGTAACTGTTTGCAAAATAAACTCGGTATAAACCTTTGGGTTTTGTCTGACTATATATATGGTGTTTAGAGCATATTTACTGTGTTAGCAAACATCAGCATTCTTTCTTTGCATCTGTGAAGCTGAATGAAATTACAGAATAATAAGAGGGGAACAACTGACTCAAACCAATTAATCACTTGAACTAATACATCATCTGAATTCTATTATGCTTTACTGTCAAAGCATCTTGAAAATCAACCAGGCCGTTTGAAGACCTCTAAAGTAACGTGTACCTAAGAGAGTTCATGGAGAACAGGATCCACAAACAGTATATATAAATAGTAAAGTTAGCATCTCTCAAGAAGTTCACACCTGATTGACACATGGTGGTAGCACATGTGCTCTTAATCCATTGTGGACAGGAAATAAAATGGGTAAGCTTAAATCATAAAATTCCCTGTCAGTGCTTGTTTTCTTATCAGTTATGCAGTTTGCAGGGGAAAAAAAAAAAAAAAAAAGTTTTACAAAATTTAAGTCTTTAAATCCTTTAGAAATACAGCTGACCAAAAAGTTGCCAAAGCTCTACTTTTGCAGCTCATCTTATGTCCTTTCTTACTGAGCTTCTTTTCATCCTAAGATTTATGGGAAGTACAGGGGGACAACTACTTAGAAGGCCAGCAGTCTAAGGGAACAAGCTAAAAATTTCTTATTTTATCCCTCAGCGGTACTGGTACGTTCACTTTCAATGTATGAAAGGCAAATACTCCTTTGAAGATACCTTGGCACACCAGTCTTCACACTGAAGCCTGCCAGGTGTTACTGCTTGGATTTCCAATAACCTTTACTGCTGTAATATCATTCAGTGAGACAGAAGTGCTTTTAGACAGTCAAGGTTGAAGTCATTAAGGCTTCAGAAAATGATACCCTGAACTGACTCAGAGGGCAAAGACACACAGTACTCTAGCAAAGAAGCATTATGGCTGGCCATAAAAGCAAGTTTTTGCAATCTGTGCAATGTTAAGAGTAGACTTAAACTAGAAGAACAAAGTGTCTAAATTACCTTTGGGTTTTCCATATGGCTTATAGTGGTTTGGGATGCTTTTCCTTCCTGGAAATTCACCTTGAGATATTGACATCAGTGGCCTCAGACTGTTAGTATAATTAACCTAGATAAAACAAAAGATCAAAATGTCTGTTTTTAAACTCAAATCTTGAGCATTCAAAAAAACCCAAAACCAGTAAGTTCCCCATGGAAAGGTAGCAAAGTACAACTTCAGATGATAGCAAACTCTGTAGAAGAATGTGTTGTTCTGTTGTTCACAATTACCACATTAAACCACGAGTTTCAAAAGTATTATTTGGAAGAGGTACATGTCTGGAGAACAGAATGAGTGTCTCAGGAAGACAATGGTACCCATTTCAAATTTCTTTATCTTATTGCCCCATATCCCTCAACAACACCTGCCTGAAATATAAAACTGATACATATGCAAACCCTGCCTCTAGTTGAGGAATGCAGAATGGAAGGCTCAGCTACTACCTGAGATTAAGCTATGACAACAATTGTTAACTAGCTCATGAGAACTGTATTATACTCAAATGCATGATATTTTGAAAGTGTAGCTCTCAAAAAGGTGGTGGCATTTGTACAAAGGCAGTTACCATAACTTAGCTGACATAGAATGTATTATTAATCCCTAAGAAACCAATATGAAATACCTTTCAGAAAAACACATGCTGAATTTTGCGAACCAGTAGCTGCCAGAGGTGATGAGCCATTTTTGTACAGATTCTGGTCCTTCTTCAGACCATTTTTTGCTATAGGTATTCCATTTTTATGCAAAAGTTAGTAAGGGTCAACCGAATGACAGGAACATTTTGTCTACCTTAGTCTGACTAGATTAAAGCTCTCAAGTGCGAGCAGAGCTACAAGTCACAAGTAAGAAAGACTTATCCACGTGCCCAGAAAAGAAAGAAGTGACACATTTGGGCAGCACTTAAAGCCTGATTAATCTTAGAAGAAAAGCTATCACGCAAAGGACCAACTGCAAAGGAAGGATGACAACCAGACACCATGAAGCAAAATGGTGCCCAAAACAGGGGGAGAATGCATACAAAAGACAACCAAAACAGATGGAAGACAATGGAAAACTAATAGAAATGCACCATGCAATTAATGTATTTGGTGCTTCGAAATTGTCAAAAAAATTAAAATACATTTAACTGGGGAGAAGGGGGTTGATCTATGCCTGAATTGTTACAGTTTGGCAGCGTGTTAACACAGTGAGTTCAACAACTCCTTTCCTTCCAATGGTAAAACAACTGTTCAAGATTAAGTTACTTACTGCTGCTTTCTTTTCACAAAAGGCCTTCAAAGCTTCTGTGAGTTCCTGTGTAATATGAACAACAAGTGTTGCTTCGGAGTCTGAGGTGATGTGAAAAGTCTCCTGTTGAAAAACACGGTTCGAATTGGTCATTAGGACGCTGAAGGGTCATATACACAAACAGATCAAAGTTACACTTCCATTTTGGTATGGCCAAGTTTATACTATTAGTTTAAACATAAGACATATGTAACACACGTATACACACATATGTATGAAAAAGTAAAATTGTGTATATAACTATGGCCTGATAGAAGGTAAAACAAAACCTTGCCACTCCCCTACTGTCAATCATGAACATTTTGCTGCAAATGGAGAAAGGCACAAGTCCGAAATTTACGTTGTCTGTGTAGAAAATCAAATAAAAAGTAAGCTTCAGAACCATCATTAAATGCTTTTGATTCCTTCATTTTAGTAACAAAAAGTTGAAAGTTTTGTTATAAATGATTACAGTAAGTTAAAAGAATATAGGCAGCCTGGGAAGTTTACTGATTATCCCCAGACTTGCTTTTTCTCTACCTCTTCCGACAGTCACAAGTAACCACAGCTTAAAAGAAAAAAAAGAAAAAAAAAATCACCAAAAACTGAAAAAGATCTCTCCAGGTGGTAATGAACCACGTATCTCAAAACACTCTACTTGTCTATAAACGCAATTCAGACTCAAACAAGTGTCTGAAATGGCCTTAGTATCTGGCAGACGAGTAAAACAGTGAATACAGACTGTTGAATATTTTCACGACATAAAACCAAACCCAAAACCTGCAGCACAGGCAGCCAGACCAGAGCGACTCCTCTCATTCGGCGCTATCGGCAATCCCATTAGATCCAGGCAGCCAACACCGTGCTCCTAACGCTGCTTGGCAGGGCAGCTCCTCAGCACAGGCAAGAATGATGCAGAGAACAGGCAGAGTGCTCACATTTACTCCAGCAACTTGTTCTGAGCTGACATTATGCTCAGAGCTAGCTAGCTGTACTAGCTTCTCAAAAGGGCAGAGTCCATTAAAATAGAACTTAGAAATTATTGTTGAAGTCAAATGAGTTTGATCAGTAATTAGAGGCTCTTTCACAATATTCACTGCATCATAGTGGTGAAACTGCATGACTCTTATCACAATCAGTTTACATACATACCAAGAACTCCAGAGCTTTCTGTTTCCGAACAGGATCATTCTGTTGGATTGCAGAAAGGGGAAGAAAAATCGAAAGACTGAGTACTACAGTATTTGTTGCACCATCTTGTACAAAGCAAGACCTTTTAATCTTTTATCCAACAACAAAAGTCAACACAAAGAAAAGATAGAAATTTTTAGGTCACAGTCATAAACATATAACATTAGGATCGCAATTAGGTAGCAGCTACTAACAACAGAACTGCATTACTTCCAATACCAGGAAGAGCAATCTTTTCCAGGCCTTCCTCTCTCAGGACCAACCCCTTCTAAAAAAAACGTTAAGTGCCCCCCTGCATGCTTGGGTAGCATAGTACCCAAGGCCTAAAAGAGCAAAACACCACCACAGAATACATTAGATATAAAAATAATCTCTGCCACTAAGATAAAAAATGAGGCAGTTCTCGGTGTTTGTGCACAGTGCTATTCAGAAGAGACAGTAGGGAGGATTTTTAGTTTCAGCTTTGAGTTAGAAAAAAGGTAAGCTATATTTAAACCAAACCTTCAGTATAGAATACATTTGAACTGAAGAGGGGCAAAACAGAGAAGTGGAGACTGTGGCACAGGCTGGGAGACCTGGTCTGCAGACACCAGGTCTGAGAGTCTCAGTGACTTTGAAGGGGAATTCTGAGAGCTAAGGTGGGTGAGCATCCCGATGTACCATATTCATTTCCCTTCTGCTGTGAGCAACACAAAACTCTGGTCATTACATCAGTTATTGTGTTTCTGGGATAATATTAATAAAATGGCAAATGAAGCCAAATAAGAATTTTTTTTTTTTTTTTCTAAAAAATGCAAAGCAAGCATAAGGAAACTGTTACAACATAAGACATTTTCAGAATAATTACTACTTCTACATACCTCATGCTTATAATCATCTTCCCACCTTAAAAGAAAAGAAATGAAAATATTAAGATGCATTCTAAAGATTACTAAGAAGTTGGGTTTACTCATAGTATCTAGAACAAAAATATTTCATCTTCAATGTTTCTATCACTTACCAATAGAGGATATATTTTTCTATGGCATATTTACAATACTATATTTCTTAAAGGTCTTTACTCTGAGTGACTCTCAGAGGCCAGTAGTTCTGATGAACTTCTTTACAGGTCAGCTAAAGGAGATGACTAAAGTACTGGTGGGTTTTTTCTTCCTGTATGAACAGGGGTGCCTTTTCTACAACTTACTTGGGCAATGACATCCCAAAGATAGTCGTAACACCTTGAAATTTGAATTGCAAATATTTTTGTGCATGAGTACACCAGATTGCTATTGAATTGCACAACCAGTGCAGTATTTCAAAAGCCACAGCTACTTATAAACTGAATAGCAAATTTTATTTCAGGTTATCTCCTCGCAGGCAGAAAGGAACAACTTACGCAAGAGAAAGAAGTACAGCAGAAAGACAATATTTTTCCTATACGTTTTCCCTATACGTGACAATGTATACATTTCCCTATATGTGACAATGTTTGTTACAGAAAACAAGATCTTTATAGTAAGTAGAGAGAAAAAAAAATCTCTTTTGATTCCCCTGAAGGGGTTATATTCTCACCTTGCTTTCTTCTTTGATGGGGCTAGAAAATTGAAAAGAATTATTAGCAACATCATAGGGTTTCCATTGTATAATTGCAATAGAAGCATGACGCAAACAGAACACTTACTGGTCCTAAAGTGTCTGCAAGTAGTAAGCATGATTTTCTTCTAAATAATTAGTATTTTTATTTTGGAATTCACTTGATATTGCCCTTACCACCTAAACATAGCAAACCTTAACACTGAATGACACAACACTTTTGCAGCTGACTTCATTCTTGTCCATTCTTCCAATTCTTCATATCCTGTAGGACTCGGTGGGATCGCTCTTTTTGGTGTTCTGGTTTGATATCTGAGCATGTCTGCTAGTTCTACAGAAGTGCTGATGTCAATTTACTCTGGACAGAGAATTACTGAGCTAGATTACTTGTCTACACAAGAGAAACAAACAGAGCTCAAAAAGAGTCTCTGCCACCTTGTTTTGCAGACCAGCATTAAAAGGTACAATCCACAGAAGCCATCAATGATCAATCAAAAAAAAAAAGCACTGTTGTTGTAGGCAACTCCAGCATGATTCACACGGACAAACTCTGTTGATTTATGCAACCTTCACTCATTTCAATCAAACCTACCTTCCCACTGATACTAGGTAGCATATTTCTTCAAGTTGGCATCATTAAGCATTAAATAGCACCTCCAGAAACAAGCAGTCAAAAACTGTCTAAGAAACACTGCAAGTCTGGCAATCACTTTCTTCCCTCATTTCAAATTCACAAAACCAGGAAAATCTCTGAAAATGCTTTGTGCTATTACAAGTTGTAAGTTTTAAATCAGTCAAACCCTTTGAGTTCAACTACTAATTCAAATTAGCCAAATATCAGTTATGTTAAATCTATTATATTCAGGTAATTCATAGACTTACGTGAGGTACTTGGTCTTATGTAACCTTCAATCTAGGAATAGAAATAGTTTCATATTAGATTTTCTGATTAAAATTTCCTAACAAGTCTCTACCGCAACTGCCTTTACAAGTGGAACAAATACTTCTATTTATGCCAGCATAGCAAAGCCCATAATCTGATAGACATATAGTCTTACAAATATAAATGAAATTTGAGAGAAAAATTACATTTGAGAAAATTTAAGTTTCAAAAATTAAAAACCATTGAAGTAAAGTAATAAAATTTCTGGACCACTGAATTTGGACTAGACATTTTCTATCTAAGAAACCTAACTTCTGAAAAATAAACGACTTCGGTTTTTCAGAGGAATTTCAAAACTACTGTTCTTTTCCCCAGATTTTTTAGGGCAACTTTAAGTCTTAGTTCACTTTAATACTGCACTTGCTAGAAACATACAGAAATTTTACAAGCTTTGTCAGCAGTACTTTTAAAATTTACTAGGCCAAACATAAATGCACTGATAAAAGACACGTTACTGGATACTTCATATTTACTTCCATTTACCTTATACATTTTTAATCCTTCAGTCTTCTCCAGCTCTCCTGCTATTCGTCTAAGAAATGAGACTTTGCATTCTTTTACGTCTGTTGTCTTTCTCTTCATTTTATCAGGAAATTCTTTAGACTGTTGGTAAAAACAGCTGGAAGTGGTCAATATGGAAATTCATCACAATATTTAAAAATTGGCACATTTCGCCTTTTGGGTAAGCTTCCAAAAGACTAGTAAACATTGTTTTGAATCTTATGAGCTAGCTTCTTCTCTGTAACACAACTAAATTTTAGTGTTAAAGGTGTTTAAGTAGTCTTCAAAACAAAAAATGTATACTATGCAAAGCGTGCTACCAAAAGAACATGCTTTGTACCATACCCAATAATGCTATGGGCATGCTGAGAATAAGAAAGAACCACAACATTCTAGGAACCTGATCCTAGAGCTAATCAAAACACTTAGGAAGAGATTTTGAGCAGATAGAGACATGCACTGCTGGATCACACTTCCTCAATAGCTCACAGCTTCATAGCTATTCATGTTGACCTGACCCATTAGTGGTTTATCATATGAGGGTTTAAACTTCAAACTTGATGTAAGTATTTGTAGGAAAAAAAATAATAAAAGGGGAGTATAATAAAGAAATTGTGATCAAAACACATCAAAATTACTCACAATGTATGCTCTTCTGTGTTTATATCCACTAAGATGTTCTATCATAGGTGCCATCTCTGTATTAAACCCACACAGCTTGCACTCATAATGCGGCTCTTTTCTTCCTTCAAACCTGATTTCAACCACATGTTCTAAACCTGTAAAAGCAAGAGTTGCAAATATCTATATTTTAGTATAGAGTACTATAAGCAAATGTATTCTCTTCAGTGTTGCTCATTAAAAGCCAAAATTAATAAAGTATTTCATTTTCAGAATTTCAATATGTCTTCAGGATCACAAGGATAGGACTTACCAGCTACATTTATTCTGAAAGGAAAAACACTGTCTATGGCAGATCTGCAAGCCCACCGAAACTAAATATTTCACAGTATGTTTAATAAACTAAGAAAGAGCCTTCCATTCAGCACAGTCATGTAAGAGAATTCATGCAGAAGTGCAAACAAATTAGAGAATGAGAACAGAAAATGCCACACAAATGTCTGTATTAAAAAACAGCATTTAAACTAGTCAAACATAATTTGAACAGTGTCGACATAGCACAAAGCACCTGTAGGAAAGACAATGATCACTTCACAAAACTGAGTCCATAATCTAAAAATTTTCTATAAACTTAAGAATTACAGGAATGAAAATGGGAATTTTCTTCATTTTTCAAAGAAATGACAGAAAGACTATGCCCTAGAAATACTCCTCCAAGTTTGAGGCTTAGAACTAGCATGGAAAGTTTTACTCTGAACAGCTTAAATGCAACAAGTTTATTACCAGCTTAAAACAAATAGGAAAAACCTGCAGCTGTTCCCTATTATCCTAAGTTCCAGTGCTGTGTATCTGTGATGGGTTGACCCCAGCCAGCAGCCAAGCACCACACAGCTGTTTGCTCACTCACACACACACCCCTCAACAGGATCGAGAGAAAACAGGAAGAGTCAAACCGAGAAAACTCCTGGGTTGAGATAAAGACAGTTTAATAAGTGAAAAAAAGAGAGGGGAAAAAAAGCAAAAAAACCACACATGAAAACCAGTCACCTCCCCACAAGCAGACCAATACCCAGACAGTCTCTGAACCTTGGAAGCTAAACCCTGCTCCCCTTGCCTATTCTTTCTTTACCTCATTGTGACTGCTGAGCACATTATGTGGTACAGAATATCCTTTTAGCCAGTTTGGGTCAACTGTTCTGGCTGTGTCCCCTCCCAGTCTCTTGCCTACCCCCCCAGCCTACACAAGGGATGAGGGGTAGGGACCCAGAGTGGAAAAAAAGAGTCTTGATGCTGTGCACTACTCAGCAAATGCCAAAACACTGGTATACGATCAACACAGTCATAAATCCAAAACATACAGGCTGCTATGGAGAAATTCAGCTCCATCTCAGACCCTCTACAGTGTTATACTGCTAAATCTTAACTCTGAAAATAAACTATTGCCAAAGTCCTATATCTGGGGAGGAACTGGTCCAGGTACCAGCACATGGTGGGGTCTGACCAGCTGGAAAGCAGCTTGGTTGAAAAGGAACTGGGTGGACACCAAGTTGAAGATGAGCCAAGCAATAGGCCCTTGTGGCCAAAAAGGCTAATGGTATCCTGGGATTGGAGTGTTGCCAGCAGGCTGAAGATGGTCCACCCTCTCTACTCAGCACCAGTAGGGCCACACCTTCCCAGTACAAGACATGGACATACAAAGGGCCATGAAGATGCTGAAGGGATTAGAGCATCTCTCCTATGAGGAAAGGTTGGGAGAGCTGGAACTATTTAGTCTGAAGAAGAAAAGGCTCAGAGGGAATCTCTTCAGGATGTATAAATACCTGAAAGGAGGGTGCAAAGAAGAGGGAGCCAAGCTCTTTCAGTGGTGCCCAGTGACAGGACAAGAGGCAATGGGCACAAACTGAAACACATGAGATGCTGCCTAAACATCATGAAACACCTTTGACAGTGACAGTGACTGAGCGCTGGCACAGGTCTCCCTGAGAGGTTGTGGAGCATCTCACCTTGGGAGATATTAAAAAGCCACCTGGACATGGTCCTGGGCAACCTGCTCTGGGTGACCCTGCTTGAGTAAGGGGTTAAAAGCAGATGACCTCCAGAAGTCCCTTCCAACCGCAACCATTCTGTGATCTGTGAAAAGCTTCTTTACTAAGATGGCTCCTTCAGGAATGAGTTGTCTAACAATTAAGGTTTATAGAAGAGGTGGCCCTTATAACACTCAGTGTAATAAACTAAATTTTAAAAGGTGTAAGAGATAAGGTATATCCCATAAATTATTCAACACATTTACAGAAAATTAAACAGTATCTAAAATTTCACCTTTTACTTCAAAACAAAATCCATTTGGTTACAAATTAAAAGACGTACCATTTAGAAAACAAGACACATACCAACTAGAGGTTCTTCTCTCTTGGGATCGTTCATAAAATCCTTCAGACAGGTTATGTCCTTTGTGAGTCCTCTCTTCACTAAAGCAAAAAACGTATATGAAGAAATATTAGACATTAGACAATTTGCACATAATTTCCATGATCTTAAATGAGTTTCTAAGGGAGACTTTAGTGGGAAAAAATTAATTTTCACACTAAAATGCGTAAGGAAAATGGGCAAGGTCTCAGTCAGTCACAAGAAGATTCCAACACTCTCTGTTTTCCATAACAATTTTACACGCAAGGAATTAATGTCTTCAAGAAGGTAACTAAATAAGCAAAACAGACCTTTTAACACAATGCACTTTACTGAGGAAAGATACCGGGTTCATGTTCATAGCATTCCACAGACCATGTCAGTTCTCATTAAGAAAAAGGGGGGGAAAAAAAAGAAGAAAAAAAAAAAAAGGAAGAAAAAGGAAAAAAATGGGGGATGAGGGGGAGAAAAAGGAAAAAATAAGGGGGAAAAAAGGGGGAGAAACAGGGAGGGAAAAGAGGGGAAAGAAGAAAAGCCAAGTCACCAGCCACCTCCTTCTCCTAAAGCCCTAATACTCATATAGCATACTAAGACTGCTTGTTTGAAAACTGAAGTTTAAGAATCATATTGCCTTAAGTCTTTAAGGCTTTATAATCTTCACCAATATAGCACATTCCTCTTGTACCCTGGGCAGACCAGAAGCTGCACAACCACAGTTAGTGTGCTCCTAAGCCTGAACTAGGTGTGTTTCAATCAGGGCTGTGTCTAGCTTCTCACTGGGTTTTAATTGCTTGGTTTTTGCACTACTAAAACACTTTTAAAGTATTCCTGGTCAGCTCAGAGCACTGGCAGACTTGAGCTAAGTGTATCTGCAAAATAATCTGAAAGAGGCAGTCAGCGTATAGTTGGCCACTATAAAAGAGCATGTTAAAATACGTATTTTTAATCTGAGAAAAAAGTGTGCAGAAATAGAACTCATTTTCCTAATTACATACAGCTGTATTTTAACTGACTGATGAATTTCATGAGTCATAAACACTGCTGGTTTCTTCAAATCGGAGCAAACAAGTAGAAATACCACAAGCACCAAATACTATGGTACTGTATTCTTTCCTTCTAGGATGCCAGATTATGGTTTAAAAAACTAACAAAACTTCTGAAGGATAGGAACTTCCATGCTTGTTCTAAATACTTATTCCATTAGGAATATGCTCTTGCTGCCATCAAGCCAAACTCCAGGGCTGCACATTAAAAAAAAAAAAATATTCACAAAGTTCCAGCATTAATTTTTACAGAAAATTTCTAATTTCATTGTGGCAGAAAATAGCTGATGGGACACCTCCTGCCATAGGTGGTGTGGCACCCCTTTCAATCTTGATAAAATCTCTCTGTTGTTTTTTGTCAGAGGTGACATGCAGCAGCATAGTGTGACAGAGACGACATGTAACAAGTTGGTGCCATGTAATGAGTCTCCATAGAGAGATTTTTACCAAAACTTAAATGTATTATGCAGTTCTCATGCATTTGTGTGTCTGTGCAATAGCTCTCAGCGCGCACTGGCTGCTCCCACACTGAGTCATAGGCATGTGAGCTTTTGGGCTTGGTATGGAAAGATCCACACTGAGAAAAGTTAAAGGTCTCTACCATAATGACCATTTTCTCCTCATTGCGTAATATACAACTAAATAGTCTTGTTTTAGTACCATCTTGAAAATAAACAACTCTTACTGTTCTTGGTTTATATGCTTTTGTTTTGTCAGATTTTAACAGTGTGCTGCAAAATCTTCTGCTAAAAACATCACAAGCTAGATTGATATCAGATAATCAGGAAAATAGAAACTATATGAAACTGCATAGTCTCCTAAGATCTTTTCTTTCATAAATTAACCAGTGCACAGAAGAAAAGCAATGGTTCAAATGTTTGGTAACTTGTCTGGCTTCTTCCTAAACCATAATCAACCACATGCTTTGGTCACCAAAAAAACAAAACCACTGATTTCAAAGTTGCACCTGAAAAGGACATTAGCTCAGTTATATTCAGCTACCTGGTCTCTGTGTTTCATACTTCATTGGAGTTCGGACTGGAGCTTGAGGACCTAGGATAATAGTTTGACAGTCAGACTACTTCTTCTCACTTGCTTTTATTAAGTACCCAGTAGATCATCCAAACAAGTTAGAGATCTGAATAGTTATCTTCATTTTACAGTTTAATATAGGCTCAGTAATAGCAGTATTTCATCTTGGTACACTTCTCTTTTGCAACTTTACTGCTCTAAGTAAGAAAAACTCTTCATTTCCACTCCCCTTCCTCACCAATACAATATATCAAACACAATGTCACAGAAACAGAGAGTATTCAATTTTTATTTGATTTTTAAGTGCTTTTCATACTGCTGAGTTATTTTAATTATTTTAACTATTCACTATTGCACATGACAGTCAATCTGTGTTACAGACACCTGACAGAAAGCTCCCGGTCTAAACATTTAGAGCCTAAATACAGTACCAAAGACAACTCATAGAGTCATTAAAACTGCATCTTCTTGTACATAGGGTTCTGTATATATTCTTAATGACTCAGTTTTGAAGTAATTTTTAGACATGCTTTTATAAAGGTACTTCTACTCCTTTCCTTTGGAATTCCTCTCCCTTGACCCCCTCTTCCCTCAAATCCAGAGACACAGACACAGCACAAGCACGCTTTAATAATGTTCTCACTACTTTGTAAGTTGCAGCATTCAAGATTAAAACAAGATGACACACCACTATTCATTTACTGGAAAAAGTGAAAGTTTAAGTTAAACTATATATTTGTCCACGTAGTTCCTATTTTTGAAGTTAAGTCATTTTCCATAGTCATGGCAAATACACGTTGTATACATCAATGGTTTTCTCCTCTTTCTGCACAAGACAAGCAGTTAAGAGATATGTATCAAAGCTGTAAATCAAATCAAAATTGTAAACGTTTTGTAAACAACTCCACTATATCAGTATAGCAGAGGGGTATGAGAAATAACAAGAAATCAAGGGAGATATGCTAAGCAATCCATCTTTTTCAGTAAAAAGCTTCAAAGCCTCTGGTAGCATGAACAAAAGATGATCTCCAGACACTCAGCAAATAGACTTTTGACACCATGAAATAAGATTTTTTTGTGCTTTATTTTCTGTCTGCTTCTAGGAACAAATTGTATTTGCAGAGAATTGCACCAGAAGCAGTTTAGTTCCCAGTGCAGCCTGCCTTAACATGGTTGAGGTTTACAAATACGGTCAAGTTAAAAATCAAGATGTAGCTGCTGCTGTCACCACAGGCAGCAGTTTGGGGGTTTGGCTTTTTTTTTTTTCATAAAAAAAAGAAAAAAGAAAAAAAAAGGAGGCATTTAGCAAATATTATCATTGCTTTGGTAAACTTTTGCAGGCAGCAATTACGATCCTGAAGACACTCACCCATTTAGCAACAGCAGGTTTCCAGGCTAACATTTAATTCACATTCACTAACCACATGGCTTTGTAACGCTATTAATAGTGTAAGTTACATTTCTTGAGCATCTCAAACCCCAAACACAACAGTATTTTCCCTTAAAGCATATCAGACTGATCTTGAGCTGAAAATCAGCTGGACTGCCAGGCTCAAAGGGCAGCAACCAACAGCCCAGGCTCCTGGTGTTCAGCAAGCAGCAGAGCACCCCAAGACTGCTTCCAGGGCACACAACAATTAACATCACCATCAATAACCCAGTTGAGGATGCATAGAACACACTCAGCAAATCCATAGACAACAGTAACTTTGGGGATACAAACGTCATCACAGCTTCAATTGAGCAGGACCTGGGAACATTAAGGATTAAAGAAATCTTAAAAAACATGGCAAGAGGTATAGAGTTCTGCAGCTGAAATAATCCTATTCATGAGTACAGGCTGAGATCTGGCTGACTGAACAGCTGCACTGTCAGAAAGAACCTCAGAGTTATGATGAACGCAAAGCTAAATATTGGTCAAGAGCACATCTCCCATAAACTAGGCAAACTCCCTACTGAGACACTGGCACAGGCTGAGTACGTCAGAATATTTTATCCTCCATTATGTGGGACTTGTGAGGCTGGCTGGTTCCATCCTTCTCCAGTTCAAGTGGGATGTGGAGAAACCAGATAAGGTCCAGTGGGAGGACTATCAAGACAAACAACCCAGAGCAAACGAATTATGAGACCGGGTTTGGGAGCTGGACTTATTTAGTCTGGTAAAGCAGAGGCTAAGAGGAGCCCTAATAGCACAGACACCTGAACAGCAGCTACAAAGATGACTCAAACCCTTTGGGGATGTGATAACAGCATAACAAGCAGCCAGAAATAGTTGCTTAGGAGGCACAGTTTAGATGTTAGGATAAAATTCTTCTTTAAGCAGAGGAGCAACTACAGACTGATAAAACACAGGTAGCAGGCTCTCTGCCCTTGGAGATATTCAAAGCTTCAGTAAGCAAGCGATGATCCAGCACTGGCAGTAGTTCTGCTTCAATCAGGAAGTTCAGAAATCCCTTCCAAATAATGATTTTATTTAGTAAGGGATGTTTTCCAGATACTAGTTATGAAAAAAAAAAAAAAAACAAACACCCAAACCCTTTCCTTTCAATATTCAATGACAGTCCTGAACATGTTTCTTTGTTCTCCACCTTCTACATCGATACATGTATTTGTAATGCACACACATGCTTCCTAATGCCTGCCAGAACTAAACCAGCTATGCTTCAAAACTTCAGGACAGTTTCAGACATTATCAATTCAGTTACTCAGTGGCAACAAAGAGGTACTGGACTCAGCATTGCAGATTCACTTTTGAACACAAGAGGTGAAGTGCAAAAATGCTTGACAGACACTGAGCATGGAGGGACATGTTATGATAAGTAAATTTTTTCTTCTATCAAAGCTGAAATGCTGATCAAGATACTGATAAGGTTGTAATTGGTGAACCCAAGGCAGAATATACGACATTTGTGCTTGTAGTCAGTGCTCTTAAATAAATGCAGTTTATCTTCAGATCCAATTCCTCCCATTGATTCCACACTTCATAGAATGACCATAATCAAGCCTTCTTTAGTCATGGTGCTACTTAAACATTTTAAGCTGAAGAATGTAGACACAGGGTGCTAGATCCAGTAACAGAGCACCTACAACATCTCTCATTACACTTTTCAAAATACTTTTCATTTGTAGTAGTGTAAGAGAAGTACTACAAGCTAACTCTGCATCTTCCTGTAATGCTAGAAAAATTCCACAGGCTGCACAAAAAAAAAAATATCCGTTAACCCACTCTGCACCAAATTAATTTCACCAATAAAGCTAGGCAGCCCAGAAATGCATTTTATAGGGCTCATGCTCTGTACTATGCCTGAGCTGCCTTGTTTTACTATTAAACAACTGTATTTTGCTATTGCCTGGGAAACATTTGCCTAACATGTATATTGGTATTCCCCCATCATTTAATGCGGCTTGCTCAAAGCAAAACATTTTTCAGACTTCTGTCTGCTTTGGACAAACGGTCACAGGAAAGAAAGCAATCTCCTCCCCTCCTTACCCCTGAACATGAACTGCCTCATCTAGAGCTGAAAGAAATCTCCCATCTGTCCAATTATATGTGATTTCTTTGTACAATAATAACTGAAGTGTATATACTTAACTGAGCTTTGATTTAACTCTCAGTGAAGTCCTAGAACTTCAGCATCTTCCCACATCTTCTGCTAAGCTGCTTTCCTCTGAACCACTGGAGAGCAGACAAAAAACCACCCCAGATATGCAATTCTGTCATTACTACAAAAATAACTTGTTGATAGTTTTGCCATATGGAAAATTGCATGGTATCCAGATGTCTCTCTTACAGAAAGTGGTACTCCTCCAAACACAATCACCTGGAAAGAGATGCATTTCCTGACTTAACTGACTTCAAAGCCAACAAGATTGTACAGTTAAACAGGCTACTCATATTCATCACTTCTGGATACTTTTGATGAGTTCAGAGAGGATACTGTACATGGCATGCCTCATTAGAAAACAATCAGGATCCAAATAATCTGTCTTTTTAAATTTTGATTTACATATGATAGCAGCATTAACGGTGCTCTCCCTACTGGCAAAGGAATTTTGTTTTATTTCTGCAGCAAGGAAGAAATTGCAGATGTTGGCGTAAAACATTTTAAATATGTCAAACTTCACCCTCTGAAGTACCTGTTGTTCTTCAGACAGTGTACATTTCAGATACTTGTCAGGTTTTCTCCTAAGTGATTTCCAAGAAAATTCATCCTTCACTTTGACAACATCCATATATTTTTGTTTCTGACTGAACTCCAGCTCTGTGAACACGCTGCCACATTTCACTCTCACCAGAGTATCTGATAACATGAACATTAGAACAAGATTGCAGATCCAGCAGAAATAACAGGAACATCTCATTTATATCCTGAAATAATACTAGACTCATACTTTACACAGCGTACCTAATTTAAGAGTATCCAGACTTTCCATGCTCATTCACAAAACTTCACTGCTTAACTCCACAAAGGCAGTATAATTTTTGTTCATTACTGTATACTGTAGAAAAAAAGATTATCAGCTATTTTAAATGAAAAAACATAGGCCAAGTAAATTCAGAATTTATTCTTGTCTCAGTGACACATACAATGAATTTCCTGGATCTGCTGGCTCTTGAGGGAGAATTATTTGTATAGTTGGTAATACATTCATGGGAGACTTTCCAGAAGTTCCACATATATATTGAATACATAATTCTGCATTGCAGTCCCCAAATGAAACCTCAATTGCCATCTTTGAAAAGTTATTCAAGTGGAAAGTTTTTCTACCTGTAAAAAAAGCCAAACACCACAACTAAAACATATAAATAAGCTTCATCAAGCCAAATTTTGGTCTGGTTTTGGACAAATAAACCCTAATGGTGGCTTGCAAATTGGCCTCCCATGTCTGAATCTTCAGTGAAGCAGAATTCAATATGGACAAAGTAGAATAAAGGAGACATTAGTATTAATAATCATTTCATATTAGAAGTAAAAGATGTTGATTGCTTCAAAATGATTGAGGCACAGAACATTCTGGACTAAAGCACATCTTGCAGTGCTTTAGACATGTGATAATACGTTGTGATGCTGGGACTCTTCCAGAAGTTAGAGCTACCTTGTTTACCAAAATTTCATGTCTGGATTCTTCACTTTAATAATCAGATATTTCGATTTATGTCATCTTGTTCTGTAAAATACACCACAGTTGAAAGATTGTAACTTGTAACATTGTTTACAATGACCATGTGTTCTTAACGAAATTCTCCACGGAACACTGAGCTTGTAGTATATGTAGTCCTGTTTTCCAAAGTCTTTGTAACAGGCTCCTGTATTCCACTACCCTTCTTACAGTCATGATGCCACATCTTCCGTACTCTTATTCAAGTCTCACCTTCTATCCCATGTATCCATTACATTACTCCTCCAAAACAAGATTTTATGGTCTTGAGGAAAGAATGTCTTCAGCTAGTGAGCATTACTCTTAATGGCTGTTTCTGACAAGAAATAAAAATAAATCTCTAGAAATTGTCTTCCATTCAAAACACAAAGCCAAACAAATCTGTTGTAGTTGCTGAAGTATAAATCCAATTTCGGACTGCTCAAATACAGAGGATTTTGAGGAGACCTATATTTTTCAGAACTTTTGCAGAAATTCTTTCCAGGAATTTCATTACCAGCATTTCTAAAAAGAGAAGATCTGCACACAGTACTCATGTCTGTTGAGGCAAAATGTCTCAGAATTGTTTGCACACTTGAATGATGTGTCTTACACTGATATTCTTGTCAACACCAAACAATGAGAGCAACTAATGAAGGCCAGTCTCTTAAAAAATGCACTGTCCAATGCTTTTGTAAATCTTCCTCTTGCGTTGACTCTTCAGGGTCCAGTAAGTGGTGAGCTCAGCCTGCAGCACTTCCTTCAGTAGAGGATTGACACCATCGCTCTTCCCTGTGCAGATGTGTATTTTCAGGAACCCTTGATCAACTTGGTTCAAAAAGGCCGATAGGTTCAAAAGATACTGGGGAACAGATGACAAAGCCAGAATATAACCCTTGTTTCTTAGGAGAACAGGTTAAGAAGATAAAGCAGAAGTGAAAGGCTTATTTCTTGTGATGACTGACTGCACAAACATTTGGGGATTGAATCTTCTTATTGTTTTTCTCATCAGTATACCCATACCTGCCAAAGTGGTCTGCTTCTTATACTTTAAAAATCTTGTATGTCATCAATCAGTGCCTTTACAACAAGATTTCCACTTCCAGTGTGAGCTAGTTATATCCCACATATTCAGCCTTTCACCACATCTCTTATTTTCATCGACATACAACAGTCTGGATTCACATTCTCGGGCTCTGGGGGAAAAGATACCCCAGCAACTGAATTTACCTTTAATAGGTCTTTACTACTCCAAGTGCACTACAATAAAGCGGGGCAGAACATTCCTGTGATGCAGCTAGGTAACTCCAACACTGTCAGAGCTGCATCTGCAACAGTGCTGTGTGAGCCTGATGATTCAGCTGCTTAGCATGCTTTCTGAAGCTTAGCAGTGAGTGCATAAAGGTGACAGACAAGAAGGAGACTGTTTAGCCTGCAAAAGTAAGAAGCTAAAATACCGGCTATCCATCCCTCTACTACATAGATACACAAGTATCTAGACACAGAAAGCCTAAATTAAGATTTCATCCTCTAAAATATTTCTTTGCTCAGCATTTAATCAAATAGAAATCTCAGAAGAATGTTCAGCATGTAAAAGACACACAGTTATAAACACATAAATCTGGCAAATGCAAGTACCTGAACTACTAGAAAAGCAACAAACATCAAAATCCCCAAGCAATATCTATCCTAAGAGGCTGGAAAGAAAAAAGGGTTATACTTACAATAGAAAGTCTTGGGTCTCAGGGCTTTCTCTTTCTTTTATTATGAAGATGCAAGTCATCCCAAAATAAAATAAGAAAAAGAAATTAATGTGCTGCACCATTTGACAGAAAACCCCTGTACTTCCTGAGAGGCCTTTGCAGATGAATTACATTACAGACCAACGTTTCCATTATCAAATAGGAAAAATTAAGGCCCTTACAATTTTCTGCAAAAGCTGGAAGTACCGATAAAAGTGTATGTAGAGTTAGTACAAGGTCATTAATAACTGGGCTTTCTTGAAATTGAAGTTTAAAGATATGATTACAAGCTTGAAATAAAGCATCTCAAGGGTGCCAGACATAACCTTGAGTTCTGCATGATTGCAGCTCCTACATTTTCAAGAGCTGTGGTTCCAACAAAAAAAGAAAAAGAAAACTCGTCCCCAGATGAAAAACAAACTAACAAGAAGCAGCTCTCCCACTATTTTAAGTGGATTTGGCTAAGCCTTCAGAACAGCCAAGTTTCCTGAAAGTTCATTTATATCATGAACAGGAAAAGTGACTTTCATCAGCTGAATCCAGAAAAGATTTCCTTAGATCCTGCCAAAAAGCAAAGAGAAACTTAAATTCTCATTTCAGAACATGGCTAAAACAAATCTTGACTCATTTTGAGAACTTTTTGGCAAATAAACACCAATTGCCATTCACAAGAATGAAAAAATAAGTGTGATCATTCTACCAGTAAGGCAGCTGTCTGCACAGAGCAGTCCATGCAGTTGAGTCCTATATTTTCAGTATTTAGTGGCATGAAAGAGATGGTGCACAACGAGGTGACAATTTAGTAGGAAGCAAGACTGACAGAATAGTTAATTGTTAAAGAAGCCAAACAGCTGCTCTTTCATGGCAGTTATACAAAAGGAAGTTACCTAAATCCCAGTATCACCACAGATAGTGGGTGGTGGTGTGAGAGCTCAGCAGGATGTTATAAGCTTAGGATACAGACAGCCTCCCTTCCTAGTTATGCTGCTGCAAGTGTTTTCATTACTTGTCATTCTACAGAGTTTTACAACAAACAGCTGCTAACACCTAATTTTTCAAACAAGCAAAGAAAACATTAGCAACTGTGAGTTACTGCTCAGAGAATTTCTTCCTGACCATTTCCAGACAACCCATTTTGATTGCACTCTGATTACTACTTTTATTATTAGAAATAATTAGAAGCTAATGGATCCATTTTTACTTGTGAACCCTTCTTGAGGTTTCTTAAAAAAAAAAAAAACCACCACCACACCAAGAAAGTAAGAAGCAAAAAACCCAAAACTACATCACGAATAAGGTTTCTCACACATTAGGTAAGAAACTTATTCTCTGTTCTGGGTCAAGTGTTACAAGCAAGTTGGAACAGCTGTTTGTGAGTTAAGACTATGAAAAGTTAGGGTAACTTTTTAAAAAGTATCTAACTTCGAGAAGCCAAAACTCAAAAACTGCTGTTTTTTAGGGTTCAAACCTCCCACACAGACTAATCTGTAAGAGCTACAGATTAGCTTTCCACAAAATTCAAGTTCACAGGTTATCTGACATGAGTTTCACATGCATAATTATGTATTATGTTAATACAGATTCACAGAATTTAGTGGTTTCTAAATATATACACCCTTGAAATCATATCAGCAAGACATTAGCAGCCCATACACAGAAAATCTATTTATTTTTACTCTTCAAGCTCATACTAAGGAAATCAAGTTTTTTTACAAAAGAAAAAAGCCTCTTTGAAGATGACCTGCAGAACATAACAGCTTATTTCTTGAGGTATAGCAGAAGTGAGAATACTGAAATGGCAAAGACAAAAACTAGCAACTCTCTTCACAGATCTGAACATTCCTTGTTTCTAACGAGGTTGCAGAGCGCTTTCCTTTTGGAACATGATAGGTATTTCTACCCTATCTACCCCCAGATATGAAGGGAGGGCAAGGAACCCTGAATGCATGATATGCGTGATAAAACCAGAACCATCTTCATCTGTGCTCCAAATACAGTTCCCAGAAGATGCAATGCTCTTCTGTTGGTGCATACCTGCAAAGGGCTATTCTTCAAAACACAGGAAAAAGAGACATTTCACTCCAGGATTTCCTCTCTAGCAAACTGAGCAATAAAGCTAACACGTATTTGCAAAATTAGAGTACAATATACCACATACAACCATATTCCAGGTACATGCACAGCAGGTATATCTTATCTGAGGACTGCTCCCTAGAAAAGGCCTAGCTTTTTACTCAGCTGTCAAAAAAAAAAAACAACCTACCAAACCAAACCCAAACCCAGCTTCTATGCAGTATAATCCCCATTGCTCTTGTAGACTTGATTCAATAAAAGCATTAACAAACTTATATAAACATTGTTTTCTAACCATTTTACCATAATGGCCAAAAGCAACATTCAATTGTTTTTCCAAGTATATAATACAGGCCAATTCCAATTTCCAAAGATCTAAGAACTCTATGCACATGTATGAATGCTATTTTGTCTTTTTCCATGCCTCCCATCAACACATATTCAGCAACAAAACCCATCAGCATGCAAACGGTCAAAAGGCACCCAAATGTACAAGATAAACAGCCTTCTCATCCCAATGTCACAATCTTCTGTCCATCCATATTTTCTACAGGGGGTTGGCCTCATGAATTATCAGCACTAGGAAAAAATCAGATGTGTATTGTGCTTATTACTCAAGCTCCAGTTCAATGACATCAAAGCATCATAGTCATGAACACTGAAGTCAGTGAGAAATAGAAACTCCTGGCACAACACACAATCAACTCTCAGGGAGAGAAACTAAATGAACTCTGAAGAGGTACATCATATAGAATTAAAATTTTACATAGTATTTTGTAAATTAAGCATTCAAAGACTTGAGAACCTCTAGGTTTAAGTTTCACAGAATGCAAGTGGCAATAATTTTATCTAACTAGATAACTGATCATCTATTGTTTGAATGAAGTAACTACTCAGACTTATTTGGAAAAAAATTCACATCAATTTTGAAGTGCAAATGGAAAAGGCTTCAAATAAACAAAATCTAATCTAGTAACAAACTAGGAAGAAAGTCATTGCACCGACTAATCAATTGCTTGAAATATTTAAAAATTACTTCTATTTTACTTATATTCTGATGCAATATGTCAGTCTATTTCTCTCCCAGCAACCCAGTGGGTTACAGAACACGAAGCCTGAAAATATACAAATGAAAATACAAATGAAACAACTCAGGCCTCACTTTCTTGTAAGACTCATCTTAATGCACCAGATTATTAGCTTCCAACAGTGTCAAACAAATTCCACAAGGCTTTAGGTATAGGCTTATGCTCTTTTAGTTTGCAAAGTAAAATATTCTGGGTAAAACTGTCCAATTTGTAACAAATCTGGGTAGTCTGCCTAAGCTCCCATGAAGAGACAGCTATTATTTACATTTTCTCCTTCAGCAGCAAATTATTTAGGCACTGTCAGTTCAAACACCCAGGCTGATAGTCAATACAGGAAAAATACCCTAAAAAAAAAAATAATCTCTGACTCATCAAAAGCAGTATTTCTTGAGTAAAAGAGTAGCACGTATGAATTAGATTTCCTTGAAAAAACCAGATGTCTCAATTCTTTGGTTATATGTAGGTCACTAAAAAAAAATTCCCTAGTTTTACAAAAGCTATGCATTTGATACAATTTACTTAAAAAGTATGTTTGATGTTTGGGAAGTGGCCTCTGTCTAAACAATAGTATCTGATTGCATAATTTATTTGGAATCAATGGTACTGACACACAGGTAACCAAACCAATCAACATATAGAGAAGTAGTAAAGGTATGCAGAAGTAACCAAAATAAATACCTTGTGTACCTACCAAGACACAGAAAAACCAAACCATCCAGGTGACCCAAAAAAAATAAATACAATAACCAAGTACAAAAAGTCAACCTAAGAATTCCTACAAATCTTTCAGATAGTCAAGCTTTACTACTATAGCTACTCAAAATAATACATTTTACTGTGAATATGGGAAATAAAGGTCAATGATATGAGACTCATTTTGCACATGTAGCAAACGTTCATACTTGTTTCTTGGAATTTTCTGAGTGACTGTCCTCCTGATGAAGGATCATTTCTTGTGTTTTTGAAACTTCCTCTGGTGGAGGACAAGCACAAAAGACCTTTACCAAAGCCATTTTAAAAACAAATGGGTAGTTGTGAGAAAAAAAAGTAATCTGACTGAAGTCATAAGAAATGGCTGGTGAGTTGGCCGTTGCAATGTAGTCAAAGAACTAGCATCTTTTCTTCATTTTGTTGCACTGTCAGGACATCCTTTGGAATTATATTGAACAGGAACCCCTCAGACAAAGAGCAGACTAAGCTGTTCACTATCAGGACCTATCCTGCATCAAAAAGGAACATAAGCTCAGAACTTTTACAGTTACTTCAAACTTGGTAAAACAAAAACTTTGAGATACCTCTAATTCTTCAGTTTACATTATGAAATCTATTGTACATTTTGTCAGAAAAAGAACATAATAGAGTTATCTGAAGACAATGATGACGCAATCTTGGAGAATTATTTCTACAGAAATACAGTCATGTGACTTACCAGGAATCCAAACACCAGCACTAATATTCAATATCTAACAAGCATCCAGTTTTTAATCTGCCTGATTACTGTTCACTGTCAGTTTGCAGTCCTTCATTAACTTAAAGTTTGACAGATGTAGCTCAGCATATACTGATTTCCCAGAGCAAAACAGAAGGAAAACTACACACTGATTTTCTACGAAAATAATCACCAGTTTTTTCCACTTTAAAAGGGCGAAAAAGCAACAGTTGGATTGCTATGAAGGTTAGCTAGGAAATAAACAACCATAAAACAAAAAGAAACTTGCATTAGCAAGAACACTTGGCAGGACATGAGAAATACTACAGTACTGTACACTTCTACTGGATCAACAGGGAATGGGACTGAATTCTCCGGGGAACAAAGTGTTTCCAGAAAGTGAAGGCAATGACTCAAATAAGAGTCAACACCATTAAAGCGATCAAACAGGTAACACAATACTAGTAATCTGTCTTGAAAACCAAGAGGTGGGGAGATGCCCCTCATCTACAACTGAAAGAAAAGGGGCCCACAAACACTTCAAAAAGATTGCAGTTAGTCTTTAGTGTTCCAGGAAAAATAAAATATCATTAAGAATACATTAGAGGAGGTGCTTCAGTGCCACAACAATACAAACAATCTGCTGGCAGCAATCATAAGTAACAAAGGAAAGTACAGGCAACTGAGTATGTCTCAACTGTATAGACTGAGAATGTGGAATTTTAAACAAAAGATAATCACCAGCCAATCACCAGTCAAAAGTTCAGTCAAACAACATTTATAAAAGCCTTGGCTCTAAAATATGTCCTCACACTGTCTAATAATTCAAGCACAAAACAAGGCAAGGCACTAAACCAGGAAGTTACTATTGAGATGCTTCAAACAAACAGAACCATGAGTTGACATTTAAGCCTATGTAACTCCTGCAGGATATCTGAATTGATGTTACTAACAAAGTAATAGGAAAGCTAGTTTTATTCGAAGTACAGGGGAGTTGTGTAGACTTGTAAAACAGAGCAGTACCTTTACCAACTGTATCCAAAACAGAAGTTTGCATTCTTCCACCATCTGTGGCTTCCATGTAATTAAAATATTTATTTCACAATTAACACACATTTACCTTCACCTATGATTGATATTTCAAGTTACATGTTGTACAACACAGAGATGTGAGATTCACACTTCATCTTTTTCTTGGAATTTCCAAGCGAATTACCATTACAGATCTATCAAAAGTTAGATAAGCACTTGAAGCAATGTGAAATCGATTACTGATTTTTACAAGAATTCCAGATGTATGATTAAATTTGCATACAGACTTAATATAGAAGAAGGTTACCTTTCTATGTTTTGCACCACGGTAGTGTGACTGAAGACTTATAGAACTCATACACGGAACTTTACAAACCTAAAAAGATAAATTGAAAGCACATCTTCAGTTATGCTATGGATATTCTGTAGTTGGTGACTTAGGGAAACTGCAAGTACATCCATTTCTACAGCACAAGTCTGAGTGTACTCTAAGCCAAAGAAGACCATTGGCATTACATTTAGGAGATCTGCACACCACTAAAGCGACCAGAATCAGTGTGCAAGTCTGATCAAATCATACTTAGATACATGTTTAAATACACCAGGTGGTATGAATCTTTTAAGAGCCTCTCCCTTCCCTCCTACCACCCCTTCCTGAATTCTTAAATTTTCTAAACTTTTGCAGGCTGGAAAGACAACAAAAAGGGATAATCATATGGTGATTAAAAAGGCACAGAGACAAAATTATGCCCTAGAATAACTGGAACTCCATTCATTGTTACATCAAAGGGATCAAAAAAAACAATGAAGACATCTGCATTTCATTAAGATCCCACAGACACACATACACCATTACAATAATTAACGGAAGACAATACAGATCTACAATTGTTTCTTACTATCTTTAGCTAAAAAAACAATGACTAATATATGCTAATATTGCCTATTCCCTTGACATATTGTCCCAGAAGTTTAATGCACACCAAAAAAAAAAAATACCTAAAGTTTTTTGCAGATTTTACAGATAAATGAGCCTTTGCAGTCACCTGTGAGAAAGACTTTAAATAGAGATTTAAAAGACCACAATTAAGGACCATTATATTGCACCTGTGACTGCTCAAGAACAAACTGAATTCACCAAATCCTAAAACAAGCAGCTCTTCTAGGGACTGACCATGTGATTCACCACATTAACAGCTTCTCTTACTTAGAAGTTAGCCACACTACTTTTCTAAGAGTGTGAGGTTTAATACCTTTTATATATTTTAATATATATATTTTTATATTTTTAATACCTTTATATATATGCCTATATATATTTTATATATATATTTTTTTAATACCTTGGGCCTGCATTTTACTACACAGTCTGAAAAGCCATCAAGAAATGCACTCACTTCACAGTAAAATATTTTCTTTTCAGATTCAGGCTTGCCATCTTCTGGCTTAACTTCTTCAGTCACAGTGCTCATCCTGCAAAACTGATTCACTGCACACAATGAAAAAAAATCACAAAACAAAACAAACCATAAAATCCAACTCTTGTTTATCAGGTGCTTTTCAGCAAACGATTGGGGGTGGGAGGGAAGCGCTAGTCAGACGAATTAAGTTGATCATTTTGTTCCAACACATTTCCAGATGGAATCATAGAATCATCTAGGTTGGAAGGGACCTTCAGGATCATCTAGTTCATCCATGAAACTAACTGACAAAAAAAAAAAATCACTAAGCCCAACACCATGTCAACCCATCTTTTGAACACCTCCAGGGATGGTGCCTCAACCACTTCCCTGGGCAGCCCATTCTAATGCTTGACAACCCTTTCAGCGTAAAAGTTTTTCCTAATATCCAACCTGAACCTCCCCTGGTGCAACTTGAGTTTCCTCTAGCCCTGTGGCCTGTGACTTGGGAGAAGAGACCGACCCCCACCTCTCTGCAACCTCCTTTCAGGTAGTTATAGAGAGCAATAAGGTCTCCCCTCAGCCCCCTCTTCTCCAGGCTGAACAACCCCAGCTCCCTGAGCCTCTCCTCCTCAGACTTACTCTCCAGACCCCTCACCAGCTTCGTTCCCTTCTCTGGACCTCAATGTCTTTTTTGTGGTAAGGGGCCCAAAAGTGGACACAGTACTCGATGAAACCACATCTTTTATCACTAGGGCACCTTTACAGCCTACAGCCTTCTGCTAACGGCACCCTCCCCGCGCGTCCCTCTGGAGAGGTTTCACAGAGAAGCGGCCCTCCCCCGCCCCCCGGGGAGGGCAGCTCTCCGGCCGCACACACCCCCGCCGCTGCTCCCGCCTCCCCCCGCCAGGAGACACGGCGCTACCTCAGCGTCGCTCTCACCCACAGCCCCCCGGCGCCTGGCTCCAGCGGGGCTCCCAGGCCCGGCGCCGCCCCCGCCGCCCCACCGGCACTGCCACAGGCGGGCCGGTAACGGCAGCGAAGAGCTCGCGCCCCCAACGGCATCCGGGAGCTGGAGTCCCCCTCCACACTCGTCACTTCCGCTACTCCACAGCGAAACCAACCCCCACCACGAGCGGCAAACAGCCAATAGGCAAGAACTCTCCCGCCCCAACCAATGGGATACCAGCTCCGCCTCGCTAGGCCCTCCCCCTCCCTCAGGGGTGGCAGCCCCGCCCTCCCCGCTGGCTTCCTGGCGACCTCTGGCGGGCTGGGGGCAGCCGGCGCCGGGAGAGTAACGGGGCGGGACGGAAAGTAACGGCCCCGGCCCCGGCCCCGGCCCCGGCCCCGGCCCTGGCCCGGTGCCGCAGGCAGCCCGGTGCCGGCGTTTCGGCCGCTGGGTTTGCAACCTCCGGGCCTTGGAGGAAAAAAGGGCAGGAAACACACACGGCAACGATCTTAATTTAAATGCAAATATTTATTTTAAAATGTCTTAACTTTACGCTTCCGACTGGTAATAAATGTAAAATATAATTTAAGAAATACACTTGAAGGTTCCTTCTAAAAGCAGACAGAAAACGGTACAAAAAAAAAAAAAAAAACCCAACAGAAAAGTGCACCGGTTTTAACAAAATTCCAAAATATCAAATCCACATTTTTAATTAGCCCACTAGTGATATATCTTGACGTCTATTATACTCGTATACGAAGCAGCAGAGTCGATACTGGTTAGGTTACGTGTTTCCCAAGGGTATTTTGGCTCCCTCCCTTCCCTCTCCCAGGAGCTGCCGGGTCGGTGTCCCGGGGCTGGAGCTGGGGCCACCCGTTTCACCCCGAAAACTTCAGGGAAGGTTTAACCTGCACAAACAGGAACGTTTTCAAATAACGCTCAGGTGGCTGCGGTGTTCCCTCCAGAAACGTGCCCTTAAATATCTGGTATAGCCCAACCAGGTTGGGCAGAAATGTTGGTAGATCTCCATGCACCTTTGTTTTTTTAATCTTCTCCTCCACAGTGTTTCCTTAGGAGGAGCAGGAACGGCACTTTCAGTACAAGATTATTAGTGGAGTTTGAAGGTGGATTATACACCTTTTCAAGATGAATGATATGATTTATACTAGTATTTTTCATGGGCATTTCTGTAACAGTCAGAGGCCTTTACATGGAATCACGTTAAAATGCTTGATAATTGTTTGTGGTTCTCATCTCAAAACCCAAAATGGACTAATTGAAAACACTGCACTGTATATGTTGCATAATGCTTCCATAACCATCTTTTTTTAAAAAAAAATAATTAAAAATTAAAAGTGCAATTGCACAGTGAAAGAATAAACACGTGTCGAAAAAATGAGAGAATCAAAAATGGAGAAAATGGGTTCCTTGATTTTTTGAAAGAGAGACCAGGTCTAAATACAAAAGGATTTGGCAGTACATATATTTGTAGAACTAAACTGCTAGTGGTAGCTCAGAGTTCCTTGGCAGCACAGCCTCCTGAAGAGAGGATGTTTCACCAGCAAAGTGTCCTTTTTTTCTATTTTAGGAGTAGAGCTGTGATTAGTGAGTACCACAGTCTTATTAAGGAGGGCAGGGGGAAAGGGGCATTGCACTTTTGCCTAACACTGTTCTTTTGGCAAAGCTTTTGGAGTACACCTAAAGTGGAAATAAAGCTACAGATGCTAAAACCAGAAAGGGTGGAGGCAACTATGTACCATCCTATAAAATTAAAAAAGTAGAAAGTTGAGGAAGAAAAAGGAAAAGTTTTTTTGATGGACACAACTGCCTTTATGGAAAAAAGTGTTCTTTGGTTTTGCTAAGAAGCTGCGCAGAGGAGAAGGGATGTGAGGAAGGACCCTTTCAGAAGAGGGAATTTCATTGACCATGTAGACAAAGAATCTTTTAGGCTGTGATAAGAGTAGAATATTGTTACTGAGATCACTTTTGCCTTTTTGAACTTCATTCCTACACACACAACAGTTGATGCTTGCCTCTCCTTATCTCACAGTTCAAATGAACAACGGGGGGATAGATGCAGTCCAAAAGTTAAAAAAAAAAAAAGAAGAGAGTTTCAGAAGAGAGGTTAGTGGGATAAGGAAGAGAGAGACCAAGGTGTGACCTAAGAAGAGGCATAAAAGCGGTGTAATTCCTACGACACCCTCCTGCGCAAAATAGGGACTTCTAGCCCAGAACTTCGCCTGATTTAACATAGCTTTTTAATTAGTTCAATACAATTACTGAGACTAGCTAAGCAGCTGATGTTCTTTCCATTACCTTCTGCCACATATCTGTATTAGTCATTGGAATACCATAATTCTACCAATACCAAAGTGAAACTGGAAGCTTTGGCTGTGGTGCAGTTGTCCCTGGAGCTTTGGTGCATCCAGGAAATCCTGAGTGAGTCCAGACCGCGCAGTTAGGGCACCAGCTGCACGACTGAGCTACGATGACCAGCAGCGAGAGAACTGATGCAGACACTGAATTTGCCAGAGTTTCAAAGGCTAGCCCCAGGAAAGGAACAGGAGCGCTTCATGCCTCCTAGAATGATGTTTTCAGTCTGATTGAGAAAAACAGCTTAGCATTGAATTACCTCAATCCTTGTTTTCAAGAAATTATTTTCAGCCTGAAAAGTTACAAATTCAGTTTGACAGATAAAAATAAGGACATGATTTCAGAGCACAGAGTTATTAGCAGTGGGTGGAGAATTACTGCTGTAGTCACAGAATAAGAACACCTTGACAGCAGTACATCAACCAAGGTGATCTTTTCTCTCCCCAAAATCTGTCTTAACAATCTTTTTTTTCTTTCCATCCAAACCTCCACCCAAAGAAGATCTTTTCCTAAGCCCACGCAACTGCTCAGGATCTCCATGTGTTGGGTTTTTTTTAAAAGTACTTTTTCATTTTAGTATCTTTTTCAGCCTATCACTAATGATTTTGTTCAGAAGCTTTTCTGATAGCATGATAGGGATGTGTATTTATAATGACAAGAACATATGCCACGTGTATTCAAACACAACAAAGATCTGTTTGCCAGGGTGGCAGTGTCTGCGAACATAAGGTACGGGTAGCCCTCTTGTATGAGTCTTCTTCAGCAAGATAAAAACCTTGTGACTACAACCTGAGCTTGGCCACCTGCAGAATCTCTTTGCTCACTACCCGCGTTGCAGAAGTCTGCTTCAGTTGCGACACATGACTTCACAACATATAAAAGAGAGGAAGAAATTCCAAGGAAAAGAGTGTCTTTTCAGAACAGTCTCTCCATTTTGAATGTTTATACTAAGACAGTAGAGAGAAAGAAAGGAAGAGAGCAGAAAGAAAATACAAGACAAATAGAACAATGGCTTTATACCTCCATCATCCTGAGGTTGGGTTTTTTGTTGTGTTTTTTTTTCTTTCATCTTTCTGATGAAAGAAAATGAGTACATTAACTTTTTTCCCACTATCTAAGTCAATGTATTTGTTCATAGGTAGGGGAAATGCTGTCTTTTAACTATTTCAATGAAAACATCACACATAAAAGAAAAATAAATGGCTTTTCTGAAATAACTATAGTGGGAGAGGCTGTCCTACTTAAGTTCCAATATGGCTTCAACACAGAGAATTAAGAAAGGCTTCTAGACAGCAGAAGCTGATCTTATCCCACAGAATATTCCTGGCCTCAGGCTTGTTGCCTCCCATTCAAGTATTTTAAGGAATTTCCGAAAGAATTGCACATGCCCTGTTGATCTCAATACTGTATCAAAGGATCTTACCAACCTGGATGATGCACAAAGGTCAGACCTCCCTATGCCATCCAAAGGAGACTCAGTTTTAAGGACTTTAAGACTACATCACTGTGTTCTAATGAAGGGTGATTAAAACACAGAGATATACTTCACATTACAATCAAGGAGCAGGAAGTCAGTCTTTCCTACAGAGAATTTAGGTACAGTCCCTTGATCTTTCATTTCACTAGTTAAATCTCCAAACTGAGGACCAACTGAAACGAGCTAACCCCTTGCACACTGCTGCCCTCAACTTCTGATTTTCAAAACAAAGGTCTACTTTGGTATCAAAAGAATCAGAAGTGAATATAAATTATTGGTAGTGTTTTACACAGTGGAGGTCTGCCACTGGTGTAACTGCATCCGAGCAAACCTTAAAAGCAGCAGGAAAGTTTTTGGTGTACAAGTTTACCCCTAGCTCAAATCAGGTTGCTTTTTAGTAAAAGTAGTGGCTTACAATGTTGTACTTCAGTTGGACTAGCATTTGTATGGTGCTCAGCAGCAGTCTGGTGATAGCTAAAATCAGGCCACATTCTCAGTAAAGATGACTTTAATCAGCAGCTTTAGCATCGATAATCATCTCTGCTGTCTGTGCACCAGCTAACATCTCAGAGGAAGACACATTCTTAGAGCTTTTAGAACTTCTCACCTTCCATGCAAAGAAATACCCTCCCCGAACACCAGAATTCATGAGGTCATTCTGTCTCAGCCTCTGGAGAGTTTATGGCTGAAGAAGTTTGAATGTTATCATCATTCAGGTGTTAGAGGCATACACTGGAAAAAGAAAGGCATTTCTTTCAGCCTGAGTGCTCCTAGTTCGTATCAGGCAAGCATTTGATTAGGCATTTCATCTACAAGAATAATTTTTTTAATTGTTGTTACAATAAATGCATTGGGAGGCTCCTAAAAGAGACTTAAGGGCTGTGCTTAGGGAGTAAAAATATCAGCTCATTAAGGATAAAAGCTAAACCAGTGATTGAAAACATCTTGAACCTTACTTCTCAGTGCTAGTTTTTAAAATAATACCAAAGCAATAACAACCACTAAGGAAAGGTAACCATTTAAAACAACTGCTCTGTCTTTCGTGCTACTTAGTGATCAGTGTCAGGTGATCATTAATGTCTACATACAAAAAGGTTTCATAAGATTAAATCAGTGGCAATTTAACAGGCTACAGTACAATGTCAGATTTCAGTCCAGACTCAATCCATGGCACATGTGCTGAGAGATGGAAGGAATATATGTGCCTTAAAATCAGATAGCAGGAGATTCATTTTTAGTGCTTGTTTCATTCTTTCAAAATGATGTGATATACCAAGAACTTAGAAGGAACTAGCCTTGCTTACTATCAACAGCGGTTGGCAATTGTCCAAAAAGAGGATAATCTGTTCATCTCTTTATAAGTGCAATTCTTATGAGATTGCTGCATGGGTGGGATAACTTAGACTAGAAAGAATTCTACTGATACCACATTTTTTCATTTGAGACCAGGAATAATAACTTGGCCACAAATTAAGTGGGCCAAATTCAAACATGATGCACAGAATAAGTGTGTTTTTCTTGGGTTCAGAATGTATGGAACAATAAGGAAGCAAACCTGACTGCATTTACACAGGGGGGACTTAGAAGGTGACATCTCACTTTTGACACACACATTCATCCACTCTCCTAGAAGGCCATTACATTTTTTATATCAGATTAGACTCTCTTACATGCAGATGCTTCATCTATCTCTATAATATCAACTAAGATGCATAAAATGTGGGTGGGCTCTCTTTGGAACATGAGAAAAATCATCCAAATTGAAATAAATCAGTAAAGTCTTAGAGTAGATAGAGTTATGTCAATGAAATAGCCTTTGTTCTGCAACAGAGAGATCTACAGAGAACTTCTGTTGTTAGCATGAGTTACTTCTGCACTGAAGAGAGAAATCTGGCTGATATAGTTCTCCTACTGTAGTCATGCCAGGAAATATTTCTGGGCAGAGACAAGGCGTTCAGTGGCACAGTCCTCTGCAGAGTTGCACCTGGTGTGACCACTTACATACATGCAAAATGGTATCAGCACATCCAGATGAGGATAATAGTGTTTTACAGTCATGTTGCATCAATGTAAATGATGAGAAAAGGTGCAAGGTAGTGTGAAAACAGGCCCAGGTGCCCTCATTCAGAGGGTATGAGCAGGAGTCCAAGCATGGAATTAAACAAGAAGCTTTTCAGCAGTCATGCTGGCATGTCCTCCACTTGTGTCCACACTGCCCTGCCTCCACACTATCCCATTTCTGTCAGGCAGCTGCACAGGGAGCTGGACTGAAGAATATTACATGGATCATAGCACAACCCTACCAGCGGCGCTGCTGCCACAGCAGAGTGTTTGGCACCAGGACATAAGCAGTGCCACGGCTGCATGCCAAGCAATGGTCTACGAGAGCTACTCTGAAAGAGTATAAAAAGAACTGCTGCTCTTATTTTTGTAGACAGTGAACCAACAAGGCAGACTTGTGCACCACCTCTGATACCTGACAGTCTCACTCTACATGAGTACCCAGTTTGCTTGTCCAGAAGTATTTTTGCAATTGGGATTAAATTTAAGTGACGTGAACAGTGGTGTGCCAGAGAGCTGTGTAAATTCCACCATTATGGTCTCATGTCTGAAAGGGGTCTGATGTTGCATTGCACCCATTGGTAAGAGTATTAAACCAAGGATATCAAGGCTGTCTCGAATAAGAGGCAGCACATAGCCAACAGGGAGCTGATTTACCTCAGATACAAAAAAAAGAGAGATGTTCTCATAGCTTGGGTATGGTCAGCTGGACTCTGGCAGATTCAGCTTGAGCTACAGTAAGACATTATTGCACTTCTTTACTGTCCACTCTTGCCTTTCTGCTGGGAATACTGCCTTCTGCAGGACAGTCATCAAAAAGGACTTGTGTTATCTCAACCATTTAAGTGTAAAGTGCAGCATTTCGGATCAAACCATTGTTCACAAGCACTTACGTGACATGCAGAGTATATCTATCTTTACATCTGCCAACTCTAACCTACAGGAAGTAATTTCTATTGGAGAAGACAGACAGTCCTGGAGAATGGCAGCCTCCCAGGTGCAGAACCATTCCCCTACCTGGAAACTACATTTATCCTTCTTACTTATAGCATTCATGAGAAGTTCATGCCACTTTGCTGACATGTAAAGCCATGCCCTTAGTGGCTAGTAGATATAGAAATGAAGACTTTATATTTATCTATAACATTTTGAAAAAGAAAACATTCATTATAGGGCTTCTTTCAGAAAGCACATATACATCTATGCTTTTTTTAAATGATGTGGTTTTTATATAGGTGAAGTTGATATAAAGTTGAAATAGTGCAATTTTCAAATAAAAGTTAGTGCAGGAGTCAAACTACAACAACAACATAAACCAAAACAGAAGTTGTAGATTATTTTTTGTGTGAAAATACTTTACTGTCTGGGTTAAAAGGAAAGCATATGAATCTGTTTTCAAAAGTGCCAAAGTGCACCAGAGCGCTTTTGAAAGGTATGCATCCTCCAGTTAGCTCTCGGTGAGATTAAGCTTTTCTTTTGAGAATGAAACTAGGATGCTTTTGAAAACAACACATCTAATCTTAGTGTGGGACTTGGTTTTGATGTCATGTTTAACAAGCTTCTAGCAGTCAATGAGATACCATCAAATTAAAAAGTGCATTTCCCTTGTTGATGCTACAAGTAACAGCAAGGAAAATAATTGGAGAAATATTTTCCTGTCATGGACATTCAACAGCACTTTGTCACTCATTATGGAAGTGTATAACATCCCATTTTTCAGTTTTTCAAACAGCAACATGAAAGGCTGATGGCTTTAAAATGGAAAAACATGTGAACTAAAACATAAGGATTATCAAGAAAACTTGTGAAGAACTTCAGTTTGAAGTGAAAGAATTTCTAATGCATTTTGTGGAAGTCATTTGCTTTAATTAATGCTATGTTTTTAAATTAAGAAGTTGTGTTGGAAAGCCCTTGCCAGTTGCCATTTGTTTATGTTGAGATGAAGGAATAGCTGATGCTTCCTATTAGAGCAGCAAAAAAACCAAAAATGCAAAAACTCGTAAGGTAAACTGCCCACAATGAGGACCATAAACATTTTCTCTTTGCACAGAGGCATCACATCAGTTTGAGAAAAACAAACAGAACAAAGGCAGGAAATAGAAACAGCTAGACCTTGGTAATGAACTGTAGACAAGAGAGGAAAGATGATAAAGACAAATTAGCAGGTATATCTGTGCAGTGAGTAATGATCATTTTTCTGTGCCTGAAGTTTTTTCTTTCTTTCTTTCCAAAGATCCCTAAGAGCAGGGGGCAGTGAGGGGCATGGGGGGTGAAGGGTGTGTGCATCTGTGTCTGATTTTTCTCACACACAGGTGCACAGACACACACTCAAAATCTTTCCACTGACTTTTAATTTTAGTAACTCCTTTAACCCAACTGGGAGAGAATCTACAACTTCTTGCTTTTAACATTATAAATATTCCAAATGTTATTAAATCTACTGTAAAAATGTACATTCAGTGGTTTTATGAGGCACAGGACCTGCTAATGTATTTTCAGGGAAGCTCACGTGTACTCTGTTCTGTCCACTGCTGGACAATGGTGGAGAATCCAGGGGCTCACGCTTGATTGCTTGAACCAAGCAGGGGTTTTTAAATTCACATGACATTTTAAAAACCTCGTTACTCTGCTCTTTCTCCTCCCCTGGGCTGGGGCTGTAGAAGTGGCCGTAGCACGCCGTGTGCGGCAGGTCAGGCACGCTTTCCAAACACCCGGAGGAGTTCTGAGGGCAAAATGGGGCCACCTCCTTGCTACGCGAACCCTTGCAAGATCTGTTCAGGGCTAGGTTGTTGGGGTGATTTGCTACGATGCATTGCCAATTATGCGGCGTGTAAAGGCAGTGCCGTGGCTTCTGGCAAGGTGAGGCTGGCTCACAGAGGTCCGGTTCTGTTTTGAGGTGCACTCTATTGGGGTAGCTAAACACCTGCCTTCGCACCGAGCCGTTCTCATCCAGCCAGGCTCGGTTTTGCGACGTCAGGTAGTTATCGGCAATGTTTTCGGAATCGGAATCATATTCCGTTTTGACAGGCATCTCTAAGGGAAAGGCTGCCTCATAGAGAGACTCTGAGGATATTAAGGGTCTCTGCAGTTTCAGATGGTCCGTCGCATAGTTCTCTGCACAACGCTGTTGCACGCTGGAGTAAGACTGGCAGCTTTCTGCACTCCCCCAATGGGAAGGGCAAGTTGATGCTAAATTTAAGAAACTTTGGTCTCTGTTGTAGAATGGTCCAGCTCTCCTGTTTGAACATGTGTTCATTCGCTGGCTCATTGAACAAGAGCTTGAGTTTCTTAAAGTCCAGCTACTGGTTGTGGTGCAGTTGTTCTGAACACCTAAAACAGATGTGTTAGAACTGAGAGGTTCCTCTTGCATAAAACACTCACCATTTGTATGAGGTTCAAACTTCACTTTTACGTTATCCTGTTCATTTTTTACTGCTGTCCAGTTAAGATGCTTCCACTGGCCCAGGGTTTCAATGGCACTGTTATAGGAAAGTCCCTCCAGGTTTCCTTTCAAACTGGCAAAACCGCTTGGTATCTTCAGTTGATCATCTTCTTCCCTTTCAATAACAGTAGAAAAAAATAAGTCAATCAGAGGTTTCTAAATGGATGTTTTCTGGGACACAAATGGAGAGGCTTGACATACATTATAAGCAATACTTTGTCTTTACCTTAATATGGGACTCTCGCACTCTTGTCCATATACCATTTGCATTTCTTTGAAAGAAAAGAAGTATACAAGCATCTGGGCATCAATGTGTGTGCACAGCTCCCTTTCTGTGGCACTGTTTCATTTAAATTCTAACATGCATTTACTCTTCCATTTCAGGGACACAGTTCACAGAGACCTTAAATACTGTAGTACAGTATGGTAACTACATTACACTTTTGTTCTTCCTTTAAAATATATCTAAATAAAATCTGTGTGCAGAAAAATCTAGAGATAAAATGCAAAGTATACCTTAAATGAGATGTATTTTGTTGACAAGGAGTTACTTGGATACATAAGAACTTTCTGATCAAAGTGATTTGAGGGAGAACCAAGGGTGTCTTATATTTTGAGGATGCAGAGTTAGCTGAGAGGAAATACAATGACCAAATTATATAGAATATAATATATTATATATATATATAATTATATATATATAAATATAATTATATAGAATAGTCACAGACATTCATGTTGGGCATAAATTTGTTTTTGCATGTCTAAGTTAATATATGCCGTCTTTCATTTTTTAAGATGGCCAGTGAATTAATTTTCCATGACCTCCAGCTGAAGTACTCAATGGTAGTGAGGAGCTCTGGCAGAGAAAGCTGCCTGATCATTTCTGTGCCCGACGCAGCAGTTTTCAAAACTTGGGGTCCAAATCCTCAGGTTCAGTATTGTCTGGAATTCAGTAACATGCTGGTTACTGCCCAGGCAGGAACAGTGCTATGAACCCACCGCCCCTTCTTCTGCCCCAAACAAGATGTGGGCATCTCAATAAGAAACTGAGCATGAACACCTGGAGAGCTAGTAAGGGTTTCAGAAGACTTTTTCTTAGCTCACTATTAAGAACTTTTCCTTGGGTGTGGAATCAATGTGCAAGTATAGGATTTTTCCAGTAGAGGGAGTCCATGGTGTTTCAAAGAGAGAATGTCCCACTCAAATAAAGGACACCAAGAAAGGAGAAGATTTTCTCTCTTTTTTTTTCCAGGAGGTATTAAATATTTTTAGTCCTCTGATAAATATTTATTGTTATTATTTATAGTCTTGAGATGCAAAAGGTAGGCTGTAAGTTTGCTGTAGAACTAGCTTCTCAAGAAATGTGTAATTGGGAAGCAAGGGACTGAACAAAGTGCAATAGTCACAAAAGCTTAGACTCCCAAATTAAGAATTTTACAGTGAAATAGTATCTAGTGAAAATTCTCCAAAAGAATGTATGTTTCCAGGAAGACAGCATACATTTTAGCAAAAAAAAATCGTAGTAAAGATGAAGTCTATTGCAGGCAGGATGAGAGAACTGAATATAAACTCCCAGGGTAACTCTTGTAATACTTTGGTCTGCAGGAACTATCAAGCACAAAGGAAGGATTTTAGCCACTCAGAAGGTAAAAATGTAACTAAATAAACATCAAAGAGCACACTTAATTGCACAAAAAACAATTTGGAAGAAGACTTGAATGCAAGAAACAGGCCCTTTTAATCTGCTTCTTGATAGAAGTTCATTCCCTCACACAGCAAAATGATGTTGTGCTGTCCCAGCAAATATGAAGAGTTCCACCACCCGCAGGTGGGAGCTCCTCTGCTATTCATGTGGATCATGCGAGATACACTGCCTGCAAGGGATATCTACTCCAGAAGTTCAAAGACTTTTTCATTTATTTCTTCCACCTGCGAGGCACCCTAAAGATAAAAAACAGTGATAACAGCCACATTTTTTCCACTGGCCAGATGGCGTCTCTGTACACCTCCTGGGCCCTGCTCATTCAGTCCACTCTCTTATCTCTTCCCTCAGACCAGCTTGAAGAGATACCTCAACAAGGCCTACAGGAACTAAAACAGACAATCCCACGGGGGAAAGACGAAAAGCCTATTTGAGAGGAAAGGCTAAAACCCAGCCCAGAGGTCCTCTTTGAATGCAAATCTGTGAGATTAGCTTCCACTCTAAGGCTGAGACTACAGCCAACTAGATATATCTGCCTACAAACATACAATGCATATGAACATCCCAGTTTAGATTATGTTGAATATCCACAACTGAAAACATGAGCTCAACAGTCACCCATAAAGAAAAAAGAAACAAAGCTTAACATACTCAAATGTTAAAAAAATAGAAAAACCAGAATGCTAAACCAATGAAGAGTTTCAGCTGCAAAGTAAAATGAACCCCCAAAATACATTTTCGTGCAAGAAAGTCAAAACATATTAATAATCAAGAATTTTGGTTTTGAAATATTCTGTTTTGGTATGTAAGTGCACTCAACTTCAGACTTAAGAAATAAATACTGTTTAGGATTATAACAGCCATTTCATATGATCCAAGACAAAAATGGATTTACGTTTTGTAAGTAAATTAAATCCTTTTAATTCAGCTTTTCTCTTGGGTCACTACAGTCCTTTTAAAGATCTCATACATAAAAAACACATCCCTTTTTCTGAAATATAGAAATTTTTTTTAGTATTGAAAAATATACTTACTTTAACATTTGCTGCTGGGCAAGAACATACTCTGAACAACCACTTCGATACAGAAGTTGAGTGTTAGCTTGAACCCAGACCCAGTGATCTTCATTTGTTTGTACTTTGACCAGAGAAATGCCATTTTCTCCATTATTCTTTGCTGTACAATTTAAAAGAAAATCTATTTTAATACAAGCAGTATTTATTATTTTTTCTTACCTGAAGTACAGGTGCATGTTCACAGGTTTATTTGCTGCCCTGGAATCATCAGCATAGGAAAGTACAAGCTAAAGTATGTCACAAAACTAGGCAAATTACATTCAAAAAACAAAATTTGAAAAGCCTAATGAGATACTTAAACTGTAACCAAGGATTTTTCAGTATTATTAGTTCATTATAATTTTTTCCTCTCAGTAATAGTACTATACTACCAAGAAAATGTTCATGAAAAATGGGGCTATGACAGAGGAACAGTTTTAAAGAAGTTAAAGGTTTCCAGCAGGTGTGACAGAAGACTGAGTACAACTCTGTTCAAGAAGAAGTTGCCCATTGGGGTAAACTCACCATCAAAATTTTATCCATTTTAAAATCTGCAATACAGCATAGACTCTCATAGTACTGCCACAGCAAACAGTGGAAAAGCAACTAATGATTTTTAAAGACAATATATTCTAATTTTCCTCTGTTTTCTGATCTTTGGGAAGAACTAGCATTTGTAAAATATTTTCCAGTTTTCCTCAGAGAGGGATAGATACAGTCATTTATTATTAAGAATTTCACATAATTTTTTTAAATTCAGTGCTGCCATATTTAGGAAAGCATACTTTGAGTATTCTTATTTACTCTGATTGTTTATATATCTGTAAACTCAGCATCACAATATTTCTGCCCACTCCAAAATAGCAGACTAATGCAGTACTTTTGAGGTGGTCAGGGGTTTTTTTTTTGCATTTTTTTACAGAAGTGGTTTTAGAGAAAAGAAAAAAGAGATCATTGGACCAAAATCTGGAAAACCTAACATGAGAAAAGACAAGATTCTTTCTCCATAAATTGTATATAATCCAGCAGTACTTAGCAGACACACCTTTGATTTGGTTTTCAGCAATCTGTAACACATTAGTGAAAGTTGCACCTTCATGATGACTGTTTCTTCCATATAATTCTGCCGCTTCACACAGACTGGAATTACCTTTGGAACTGGAGCTGTAGAGGACAGAAAATTCCTTGTTAGTGAATGACAACACAGTAAAGTGACAAACTCTGAATGATGTGATCTTCAAACTGTTGACCATTAACCAAGACTTATGGTTTAAATATATAGTAACCAACACTAAATAATTATCTATGTTTCCTGCATCGTTAATTTGGTCAAACTAGTGTATGACTGGAATTCTGCATTCAATTAAGAGGAATATTTATGTTTAGGAATATTCTGCTCATGACAAATATATATTTGGAATAATAAGTTTCAGCTTGAATTGAGACAAACACTGTGTATAGTCTGCTGTCCCTGTTCAAGGTACATTCAGGGTACATACATCACACCGACCCGCAATGCACTTCAGGGTTAGCATGACTTCAATTTCCAACAATCATCATATGATTTGAATTAATTTCTTCCAGTCTTTAGTTCCAAATGTACATTAGGGCTTGGAAAGGGTGCAAAGTCTGTAACACTGCTTTACAAATTTTTCCTTTTATTAAGACCCTCAGAAAAGAAATGACTATATAAATTTGCCCGCCATCCCTGGGCAGCATGCTTCAGGCCTGAACCAAAGGAAACGCTGAAGTTAAATGCATGCTTAATTCTTGTCAAATCCTTGGCCGCTGTCCAGTCAGTTAATAAAACTCAAGTAAAGCACCTCTTTTCTAGAAGCTGAAGTCTGATCATCAATTAATCTCAGGCCACTAAAAACTAGCAAGGGGAAATGACTTTCCAACTCCGTTCCAAAAGCCCGCGTAGTCCATTATATCAGCCTTCCAGTAATTTCATTCTTGTCAAAAGGATGTATGTGCTAGAACCACATTACATGTCTGGATAGTAAATCCACACATACACAAACATATTCTAATTAAGAGCCAAATTCTGCTGTCAGTCACACTGACGAGCACTTTGCTTCACACCGACAGACCTCATTGTTGCAAGGTTATATTTAACCAAATAAGGGAAAACATAGTCCTAGCCCCAAACATCAACTACAGTCCAATCATGAAAGAGTAATAAAAATAAGTGTTAGGAAAGAAATGAGTCTGAACACAATCTGTCCTGATCTTCTGTGATTGCTACGGAGTGATCAGCTCCAGGCCATTTAGTGCAATCGAAGACTTTTGTGTTCATAAGCCTTCTGTTGTAAGATAAATACATACACCAAATACATCTCATTTGACTCTATATGAACACCCACGCACATGCACATTCAGCTTTCTAAAGTTTTTCTTTTCCTTCATTTGCCACCAAAATGCCCTAGTCCAAATAACTGTGCTACCTGAAGATGCTGAAATTTGAAAACTCTCAGTAAAAATACTTTTGCTTTTCCACTTTTACAACTAGTAGAGTGACTTATTGTGTTGGTAACTTGTGAAGGTTAGGAAGATATCCTAACTTTCCAGTTTTTCTGTAAAATGAAATATAATATAATATAATATTTAATAAGTATTATATATAAAAGTACTATATATTATGTTATGTTGTGTTATATTATCATAGTTATGATGTATTATATCATTAAATCCAGATAAATTATTCACTTTTCTAAGAAAGATTTTTAAAATGGAGCGTTATTTAGCCTAATTTTTACACACTTAATAAACATAAAGCCCATAGCATACTTTACTAACTGATAAAAGATTAATTTGAAAATACTTTGCATTCACTGCTGCTGCATCATCAGCTTTGTGTTTTGCTTTCACAAGCAGGTTTTTCATCTTCATCTCTGTCATGGAAGGCAGCAGAAGTGGTACCACTATGCAGAATAAGGACAGCTGAGGTGGCAATACTGTTCCTGATGAGGACTTCTTCCTTTGTCCAAAAAGAAACTTTAGTTTGCCTTGGAACTGCATTGTCTGTTATACAAAAAAAACAATATAATTATCTTAAGCATTTAGTGTATAAACATCAAAAATGCAAATGCAACCTAGGACCATGTTGTTTCACACACAAAAAAATCAGTTTTAAAATAGGGAAAAAACCATAGGAATTTCATTATCTTCATATAATCTAAACCATGCCATTTCAGAGGCATGGGAGTGGAGGTACTACACACAGTAAAATGAGACATTTGAGGCTGTTTTTTGGTTTTTTCTCTCCTGTGTAGTTAAAGCAGAAGTTCTGCGTTATGTTCTGTTTGCTGAGACAGGCAGCGTATGGTGGTGCAGCTATTTCCTATATGCCTTACTCTGAAGCTGGAACTATTATTTTTCCATGTTCTGTTCTTGCCAGTGAGATGGTTCCTGAGTTTCTTTCCTCTTGCCCTGCTCTTTCTGTAGGAAGTGTATGGATTGGCACAAGCCAAGGGCTGTGCAGGCAGACGCCAAGGGAAAAGATATACTCAAGACAGCCAGATTCAAAGTATGTAGCTTGGAAGGAACCATCCATCCCTGCCTCAAATCTCCATATAATCAGAAGGCAGAGATCAAGTTAATAGCAAGCTGCTGCCTCTTGCTGAAAAGATTACCTACCACAAAATGACCAGAGAAAAATCGGTCCATTTGAGTTGGGCATTTTCCAGAGCTAGAAGATTAAAACAGGGATGCAGAAATGACTAACTGATACGGCTGTTCAGACCCATAGTCTTCCAGCAAATGAGCATCTGAGACAGAAGTTGCATTTCCCTGTCTCATGCTGATCCTCTCATTTTCTTCACACGCGTGGTATTTTGTCGTATGGAGAAACTGTATTGGTCTGTACTAAGCAAATGGGGAAGCAATTTCTAGAAATGAACCTCTCCTAGTAAGGAAATTTGAGAAGCGTGTGGGAGACTTTCTAATTCTGGTTTTTATTATTAAAGGACCCTTTACAAAAGGGGAAAACAAATAATTATTATTTCTGTTCCATAAAGCAAATACTTTGTGCTTAAATGTTAGTCACTGAAACTCAGGTTTGCCACCCTTGTGCTAGGCCTAGTACAAAACCAAGGACAGATGTTGTCCAAAAGAGCTTAAAACATAGATGCTCATAGATTCTTTCAGTTTCAAATATTACAGCCTTCTTTTCTACCATCACTCTTTATACATACTATTTTTATACATATTTATTAATATTATACATATTAATAAATGTCCTTAGGTGTTTCTTGTTAGTGCACATCAAATGAAAAGTGTATCCTGTCCATGGACGTCCACAATATTTATGTTGAAATATTTTTCATGTGAAGTAATTAAAATCTAGTATGTCATGGCTACAGTTCTCTAAGTGAAATTATACTTACAAGGAAGCCAGAAGTACTGTCCAACAAGCAGCGAACTCGACAGATGAAACAACGAGTTAAGAAGGAAGAATAATCTGCTGTCGTGCTGTCATTTTCCTGTGCTTTAAACAATTTACTGAGAATATACTCTTCTCCTAGGAACAACAGTGGAAGCAATATATATATCAGATCACACTAAGAAAGAATGAAAATGTTCTGTAGCCAATTGAAGAAGCTGTTACGGAAATCGCTAAAAACTACTTTATGGAAGGGCAAATATTAAATTGTGTCATGTATAGATACATCTGCACATGCTCTACCAAAAGAAAAAAGAAAAGCTCTACAATGGGATTCAGGTGAGTTTATTCAGAAACTTTGACTTTTTTATTTCCTGAGTTTTTGTGATTTTTAATGATGCAAAGCAGGGTAACAGATGTTGCTGGTTTTGAGTTCAGATATCACAGAAGATACATTAGAAAAAGGAAAAAAATAAGGAAAAATGCTAATGCAAAGGAAAAAAAAAACAATCAAACAAATGAACACTGGCTGATTAGCTAAAGTTCAGCTGTTGCCTCCTTGATTTTTAATGAAGCATTTTCCAGTTTTGGACTACAAGTGCATAGCTTTTGACATAACTTACTTCCCAAAAGACCCAAGTATTTGTGCAGAAGTATGAACTCAGGAACTTAAATTCTCCACTGTATGTAGTAGGACAAAAATTCCAAATGCTTATAACTTTTAGTAGTTTGAAATATTCATACACATTGTATAGTTTTCTGTGTACTTCCTACAAAATCTTGTAAATTTTCTCAGATATCTCTAAGACTCTTGCAAAACACAGAAACTGCAAGAAATTCTGCCAAAGTTTCGTGACTGTGTTCCTGAGGACTTTGTAAAGGCTGCTGAAGGATTGCTTCCAAGTTTCTCCCCACCCTTCTGGAGACTGTGCTTCCTCAATTTCTTTCCTCAGATACTTCCTCACTTTCTGGTGAAATGCATACGTTTTTGCTGTGATCAATAATTCTTTATAAAATTTAACATTTCAACCCCATTGTATTTTCTGTAGTCGTGATTTCAGCTTAACACCTCATGTGGGAGAAACCTTAAGAATTCACAGCCTCAGAGAAAAAAATACATTGCTAAACCTACTTGTTCTTCTGAAAACTCCCATCTGTATAACCTTGCATGGGAAAATAAACGGCAAAAAGTGACGTGGCTGCTGTGATGCTGTTTTGTGTGGGGGTTTTTGCATTAATGATAGAAAAAACTAATGTCCCGATAGGTAGGAACAAAAGGTTGGTAGCATGAACAACAATGTTGTTCATTCTGCATGGATAAGAATATCCGTAGGTGTAATATAGGAAACATCAACTTTCTAGCCTCAGTATTGCACACTACCTTACACATGCCAAGGATTGGGAAAAATTGTCATCTATGGGATGAAAACGTTATAAATGGCCACTATGCAGCTCTCCAGTGAAGACTTGATGTGGAACAGGCATGGGCGTAGGTGGAGTGCAAATCTAACTTTAACTTTATTCAGTGGTGCCTATGTTTCCAATCAACATATACAATCCCACCTGTTTCTGTCTGTAGTTGCTGTCCAGACAACATCTGGGGAGGATTCATGGCCCAGTGCAGTTGTCTACAGAAATCCTGGCGATCATCCACATGAATGTAATCGTATATGTTTTGGTGCATTACATCAGTCTGAAACAATTACAACAAGAAATGTTTAATTTGCAAGTGTAGTGGGGCAGGCACTTATCTTTAGGTTGATACTTTCCTTAAAATAATGACCGGTGTAAGATACCTTCAGAGCAAAGATTGATTGAGGAAAGTTATTTCAGAGGCCTCTGTTTTTCACATCTGCTTTTTGACTTCATATCCTAAGATGAATTTTTTTATTCTGAAGTCTTTTATGCATACGCAAACATGAGTCATAGAAAAGTCCAACGGGCAGCCAGTGACTAGTGGCATCCCCCAGGGAGCAATGTGGGGACCAACCCTGTTTAATTTCTTGATTAGTGAATGGTGGAATAGAGCGCGCTCTCAGCAGGTTTCGGAGGGTACCAACTGGGGAGAGTAGAACAGCTACTCAGACCTTGACAGGCTAGAAGTGGAGTGACAGGAACCTCAGGAAGTTCAACAAAGGCAAGTTGTCTCTAATTTTGGGTACCCCAGGAAAGAAAGATATCAGCCCAAGAGAGTGCTACCAAGACACTCAAGAGGGCTGGACTGCATGAGATATGAGGAGAGAATAACAGGGGTTTTTCTGCCTTAAGAAGAGAAAATTTCAGGTAGAACTTAACTGCTGTCTATGTCAACCGAATGAGCGGGTGTAGAGAAGACAAAGCCTAACTCAGAAGAACAAAATGGGAGGACAAGGAGCAACAGACACAAGTTGCAACATGGGAAAATGGGACTTGATATAAGCAACAAAAAATTAGTCAAGGTGGTTAAACACTGGAACACATCTTTCAGAGGGGTCATAGAAATTCTAAATTTGACTAGATGGGTCCCAGATCAACCTCTTCTAACTGGGTCTGCTTTGAGATGGACTAGGTGACCTCCAGAGGTCCTTTCCAACTACATGGTTCTGTTATTCTGTGACTTTACAATATATTTATTATACAGAAGCAACCAGTCAAGAATAACAGCTTCTTACACTGAAGTTGAAACGAAACTATTAGTTTATTATTTTTATAATGGATGAAGTTTCTGTTAAAAAAAACTTTTCAAATGTCAGATCAGAAAAAAAAAAGATGATTAATATGAAATGGCATAGTGAAGTAGCTTAATTTCAGTAATAGTGTATGTCTAATCAGCCGTAGAAGGATAAGGCAAAACAACACAAAGTGCTGCATTTAACAAAGCCAGTTAGGGGGAGACTACAAGAAGGTAATTACAATGACAGGGACTAAGTATTCTAAATATTTGTTAATATATTTACCTGATGAAACCCTAGATAGTCCACAATCGTCGATGAGGCATAAAATATCATCCCATCTGCACTCACCACCAATGCAAAACCATTCAGTGACTAGAGAAGGGAAAAGAAAATAATTAAAAATATAATCACAAAGTAAAGAGCAAAATGGGTATACAATGTATAATTTTAAGGATATTCTAGATATGAAAAAATCACTGCAAAAAAGTTGGACATCACATTTTTGCAGAAGACTTTTTTTCCTAAAATGAAAAATGAATAACAGTCTGGAACATGCTTTTCTCATTTTTAAAAAAAGTTAGAATAGCTAATTACAGTGTAACTACCATATTATATGACTAGTTTATTATCACTTTGAATTTTGTTTTGTCATTAATTCATATAATTAAACATTTAATAACAAGTGTTAACTACTTCTTTTTGCTTTTAATACATTACATTCTATAAAAATTGCTTTGTATGTATATGCATCGATACATATAGATAATATAATGACCCAACAAGAAAATTAAATAAATGTGCAGTTGTAGCTGTGACTTTAAAACTGGACATATATTTTAAAGTATAGCTATTTTCTTAAGCTTCTATAAAAATACATACATAGCATAATTACATAAATGCAATGAATACAAAAAGTAGGCAATAAATACTTCATTGATATAGACCAATGTTTAGTCTAGAAAAAATCTAAATTAATTCTCATAGACTCTGTGATGCAAGGAAAGCAACCAGAGAAGTCCAAAAATAAAAGTAAGGATTAAATAAAATGCATAACATAAACACTAAGATCCATCAAGCTGCGTGCAGACGGACTAATTTTGCCTCTCTTCCCTTGATAAAGATTCAGTAATGTATCTTCACTCCAGCAGGCTTGCATTCCAAGGTAGTTTAGATGATCCTTTCATGTGATGGTTTTGAGGTCTTTTGAGATTATAGTTCAAATAGCTGCTGATGAAATACTGCTATATTATTATTATCCTTCCCTCACCTTTCTCTCAACTGACTGTTGTAGTGATGTGCCTATTAATCCCAAGTTAATCCTGAAGCACAATGAGGGCAGATTTTCAATTGCTCAGTAACCAGATACACTGACATATTTTTGTGAGCTTGGTTCTCTTTTCGGTTCCTAAATAAGGACCAGATTTCCAAGACTGCTCGAAGCCTGTTCCCACTGTGACAATGGTGGGCAGAGTTTCAAGAGTTCAGTGCACAATAGGCCAACCTCCTCAGACTATTTGGCCCCAATTATAAATGTGGAGCACCTTTGGAAACATGGCCCAAGGGGACCATATGTAACCAGGGGCTCTGCATCTCAAAGAACCTGTGAAATGGTGACTGGAGAAATCGAGTGGAAAGACTGCAATGGGTCACCTATGTTTGGAAAGAGCTGTAGCAGCAACTGGTTCAATCAAGTCAATGCTAACCATGAATTATTGCTAAGAATAGTCAAGGGCAAACCATGTTCAACACCAGATCAGCTCCATAGATACAGATCCTTTCCAGAATAAGCATTATCTCTGCCTAGTTGGGCTTGTGTTGAAGACTAGTTATCCCTGTTGAGTCTCAAGCACAAGGAATTGCTGGACTCGTGCTATTTTCTGCTCTAAATTATGCCTGAATTCATCCCAGCACCTCACCAACCGGAAGATGTGTCAAGATTTCTACATCTTCACATCTGTACCTTTCACTGTGCTGAGAGGAGCCTCCATAGATGGTATCTGTCATACCCATTTCCAGTGTTAAGCGCAGACAAGAAAGCATTTTTGGCACTTTGTCTCTTTGGACTCATCTTTACAGCAATGAAACCATCAGTGATGTGATGTTAGGAATTTTATTACATTTTGAACATCTGGCAAGCCTCTTAATTTGAACAGACTGAAAAATTTCCACAAAGATAGGACATTTAAGAGAGCTCCTTCATGGGATGTCTGGGGCTGTTACCATGCACATTCCAAAAGACTTCTGGTCCTGCCCGTGCAGCCATGGCAAGTAGAAATGAAGAACATTAAAGAAATGTTCTTAACCTATGCAAATTAATGCACCAAGCCTATCTGGGAAGGCTTAGATAATGACCACAAGATCTGAATATGATCAAAGAATCTCACACAGTATTATGCTGAATATCCTTAAAATGTGCCTTCTGTTGTCCTGCAGGCAGGCTGGGCTTGTTCAGCCCCTGTAGGTAATAGAAGAGGGAGCACCTGCCTTTGCCAAGGATTGTTTTTATGAACCAAGAAATAAATACTCCTATGCAAAAATGAATCTTCTTCATCCAGCATATGGTTACATACTCCTTAGGTCCAGACACCTACCCTAAGAGATCAGTTTCTACCTTTAAGATGTAAAGCTTACTCCCCCACAGTGGAAGACAGGCAGCTTTTTCTATTACAAATCCAAAGTTGGGCTGGCTCATGTGCAGCATTTTATGAAAATGGGAAGAGGAAATGGGACTATGTGCATTTCTATGGGTTCAGATCAGTGGACTGGCAACTACATCTGTGAGGTTGGAGGAGGTATTAAGGAAAGGTGGAAGAGAGCAAGAGGAAAGAAGTGGAGGAAAAGTTCAAGGAGCCATGTGTTTAAGACAGAAACAAGTATGGATTTGAGGGAAGCATGTAAAAGAAGAGAATCACAAACTTGCCCCACTTTGTTTTTGTTTTGTTCTCAGAATGCTGGTGTCCTTTTCTGAGTTAAGATCTCTTAAGTAAGCATTGCTTGGTTTTCATGACCCCAAACAGCCATCAGATGCTCTGCCCTGCAGGCAGGGAAAGCAAAACCCACTTTGATGCAACAACTTTTATGGAGCCACATGAAGCTATTGAGGATTAGCACAAATTCTGGTTGTCTAAACTTCATTTTAGCTGGGAAACCTGCTGCTTCAACCACACTGAGATGAACTGGACATGGAGTAAAACTTCATAAGCAGCGAGTCTAACCCATGACTGCAAATTTTTCTGTTTTTGCTATATTACCCTAAAGCGCAGTTCAGTGTGAAATCTGACATCTGTAGCACAGAGGACTCTGAATAGAGTCAGAGTTGGGCTGAGATTAATACTTTTCTTACCTACTTACCACAGCTGGGGAAAAAGAGGAGGGTGTTTGCTAGCAAAGATCTGGTACCCCAGAACTGAGTAGTAGGAGTAGGAACTGAGTAGGAAAAGACATCTTCTGACCTCTCAGATAAATCTCTCAAGTTTCATATACCACTCTATACTCAAGCCCTTTAGAGTAACACTGCATAGAGATTTTACGTTATTCTGGCCAGAATCCTAGTGATTTGTTAGACGGAGTGGAAGAGAGAGACAGCTTAAGTCCATGAGAACAAATGAAAACTATTCCTAGCTTTTTTGTTCTGAGTTACTGGGTGTCGCAATAAACAGGACAACAAAGTATATGGCTCCACTTATGATTTTAAACATTCCCAGTTACTGAAATAAAATTTTTGGTGATGGCATTCTCTCGTTCCCAGTGAACAGGAGGCTGCAGTGGTATGCTGTGTCAGAACCACAGCAGCCATCTGGCTGGGTTATTGATAACCTGGGGGGAGGAAAAGGGAAAGAGGACTTGGACTAGCCTCATACTTGTGCAGTTTGCACTCCCTAACATAGCCACGTGTCTGCCCAAAACACAGAGAGGACAGCACGGAGAAGTAAAAGCAGCTCTCCTCATTTCACTTTATTATTTTCAGTAGAAATAAAATGGAAAGTCCAAAATAGAGCTCTTGGATTTAGAGATGGGAATAACCAAGCTCTGTGGCTCAGTGGTGATGTTATTTGCTTTGTGTACAACTGGTGGGTTCTAATGAACAAAGTCCATTTGCATCCTATCCGAATTTTTAGCAATTTGCATATACTTATACAAGCATATGGGGACACACACACATAGAAACATACACACACAGATATTAGCGTGGACATTAAAAGTTTTGCAACAAAAACCAACTAAGTTCAAATCTGCAAAAAATACATGGTTGTAAACTGCCATTTGGTAAACCATATGGATTCAATGACAGATGGAATTTCTAATCCAGGATAATAACTGAAACATGTGAGACAGACTTAAGTATGTATTGTGAACATTTGTTTGTTTGTATTTGGCTTTTTAAAAACACTTACATGAGTTTTCTACATTGTACTTAAAAAATGAAATCGTGGGGTTTTTTTCCCAAATGGAAAAAAAAATTAAAAAAGAGCTTGGCACCAGACAGGGGCCTGTGTTCTTTTGAAAAAACATGTACATCCAATTATGTACTCACGAAAAGCTGCACCTGCTACTGAAACAAAAAACAATTAATCTGTCAGTTCAAAGAAAGTACAACATTATTCTGGTGCCCGTAGTAGCTGTGAGATGAAAGTTATCAGTTCCTTCCATTAAGAAGTTTTTGAAACATTATTAGTCAAGAGGTTCTCTTTGGGAATGAAGGCAAATATTTTGAGGAAGATAGGACTTCCTTTGGCAAGAACCTTTATATATCCTGATATTTTTTTCTGGTCCCATAGCAGAAAATCAGCCAGTAAATACTTCAAAGACATTTTGGTCAAGGTCATGGCATAGTAAAAATAAGGAGGGGGGTTAAAAAAAAAAGAGAAAGAGAGAACAAGTTCCAAGCCACATTTCTCTTATTACTCTTCCTTGAAATAAAGGAAAATTCACTAGCATTAGGTCTCCAGAGACCATGTTACTATGGTTACTAAAGTACAACAGTCAAGGCCTGCAGCCATGCCTTGCTTTGAACAGATTTTCGAGTCACGCAACTTGGGTACTAAATTTCCAGGGTCAGTTGGCTCGCAGTTTATCTGGAACAGTTTCATTTATTAGTGGATCACTGGGTTGTTGCATCCTATGTGGGATGGGGCCATTTTCTGGTGATCTAAATAAGTAGCTATTTAAAAACTCTGGAAATGATATACTTGTTCTTGTCTTATGCATATTAGGATGAAAATGCAGACAGTTAATGTGTCTTCTGTCTTTAACTGTATTGTTTAGTGAATCAGTATTTCTTTCCACTGGTGTTTTTAGGACTCATAATTGCCCTTCTCAAAAATCCCTCTGGAATCCCTGAGGTTCTCTTTATAATCCAAAAAAAAAAATAA